GGAGCCCTCGGCCCGCACCCACAGGCTCAGAAGTCTCGCGAGAGTCGGTCTTGCTTTACGGCGAGAACAGCTACACACCCCCAGTTAAAAGCATGCTCGTTGCTAGCACAGTGGCGATCTTTGTGCAGTTATCATGGCGGAACCAGCGTGAAAACAGCGAAAGCCCATGTCGGAGCAGGCAAGAAAGAGGAAAAGGGCTCCGGACAGAGAGAGGAGTCGTACACGGGTGAACATCGGGCAAGCTTTTTCCGAATGGCGAGAGCTAAAAGAAAAAGAAGGCTGCAAGGCTGACGCGGACCTCGCGTTTCTGCTGATGCGATTGTAAGTAACTTTGGAATGGTTTCTCTCTCTCTGTGTGCATGTTCATACTTTCACTGTGTTAGTCATTCGTTGCGTTCGCCTGTCTGCTAAGCTCAAAGCAACCGCGCCTGGCTTGACGGAGAAACCAGGAGAACAGCTGTGCATATTTACGACAGTGCACTTTTACTTTCACCCTCTGGGGGGAGCCTCGCTGGAAAATCAACACCGGTTGCATAGTATACCTTTAAGATGACTTCAAGCCAGACAGATGCAAATATAGCCAACAGGTTGACTGAAGAAATTAACAAATGGAGGCTGACCAGAAAACACCCTGTAGTTGATACAGACAGCGCTGCAAATATGGTTTATGCATTGAAGATAATGCAGCTCATGCATGTCTGCTGTGTCTCCGCTGTGTCACGATTGCTGTTTCACTTTTTCACTTGTCACAAACAAGTTTGCACTTATGAGACAGTTTTGTTTACTTCTCAAGCTTAAACTGTCTGATTTACGAGTTTGCACTTTGTGTTTAATGTGACAGGAAAAAACAAAATACATGAGTATTTTGACACACAGTTGAACCATTTTCATTATTGTAAAAACAGATCGAATCGAAATTAATCGATTTAGAACTGTATGAATCAAAATCGAATCGATTCAGGGCTTTGGCGAAAACACCCAGTCCTACTGAATATATAGATGAAAATTGGGTGAGTAGAACACAGCCCAGCTGCATCAGTGCAAACATGACTCAAAGTTCTTTTTTTTTATTCTTGGAAATGATAGGTCTTTATTGAACAGCAGTAATAAAGAGATGCTTGAGAAAAGGCAGGTTTTATTGTATTACATTTGTTCTACATCATGTTATCCACAAATGCAGAAAATTTCAGACATCTAGCTACAACAGTTCCAGAGCTGCGGGGTTTTGAACCTTTGGCATCCCCAGCGTTTCCATCCATCCATCTTCCTCCGCTTATCTGGGGTCGGGTCGCGGGGGCAGCAGCTTAAGAAGGGAGGCCCAGACTTCCCTCTCCCCAGCCACTTCTTCCAGCTCTTCAGGAGAAACCCCAATGCGTTCCCAGGCCAGCCGAGAAACATAGTCTCTCCAGCGTATCCTGGGTCTTCCCCGGGGCCTCCTCCCGGTGGGACGTGCCCGGAACACCTCACCAGGGAGGCGTCCAGGAGTCATCCTAACCAGATGCCTGAGCCACCTCAGCTGGCTCCTCTCGACGTGGAGGAGCAGTGGCTCTACTCCGAGTGCCTCCCGGATGACCGAGCTTCTCACCCTATCTCTAAGGGAGAGCCCAGCCACCCTACGGAGGAACCCCATTTCGGCCGCTTGAATCCGCGATCACGTTCTTTCGGTCATGACCTAGAGTTCATGACCATAGATGAGGGTAGGAACGTAGATCGACCGGTAAATCGAGAGCTTCGCTTTTTGACTCAGCTTTCTCTTCACCACGATGGACCGGTACAGCGCCCGCTTCACGGCAGATGCTGCGCCAATCCGCCTGTCGATCTCCCGCTCCCTTCTTCCCTCATTCGTGAACAAGATCCCGAGATACTTAAATTCCTCCACTTAGGGCAGGACACCCCCCCTGACCCGGAGAAGGCTCTCTACCCTTTTCCGGCTCAAGACCATGGCCTCGGATTTGGAGGCACTGATCCCCATCCCGGCCGCTTCACACTCGGCTGCGAACCGATCCAGTGAGAGCTGCAGATCACGACCTGATGAAGCCAATAGGACCACATCATCTGCAAAAAGCAGAGACACAATCCTAAGGCCACCAAAACGGATCCCCTCAACACCTTGGCTGCGCCTAGAAATTCTGTCCATGAAGGTAATGAACAGAATCGGTGACAAAGGGCAGCCCTGGCGGAGTCCAACTCTCACCGGAAACGAGCCCGACTTACTGCCGGCAATGCGGACCAGACTCTGACACCGGTCATACAGGGACCTGACAGCCCGTATCAAAGGGCCCGGCACCCCGTACTCCCGGAGAACCCCCCACAGAGCCCCCCGAGGGACACGGTCGAACGCCTTCTCCAAGTCCACAAAGCACATGTAGACTGGTTGGGCGAACTCCCATGCTCCCTCCAGGACCCTGCTGAGGGTGTAGAGCTGGTCCAGCGTTCCACGACCAGGACGTAAACCACACTGCTCTTCCTGAATCCGAGGTTCGACTATCTGACGGACCCTCCTCTCCAGCACCCCCGAATAGACCTTGCCGGGGAGGCTTAAGAGTGTGACTCTCCTGTAATTGGAGCACACCCTCCGGTGCCCCTTTTTGAATAGGGGGACCACCACCCCAGTCTGCCAATCCAGGGGGACTGCCCCCGATGTCCATGCAATGTTGAAGAGTCGCGTCAGCCAACACAACCCTACAACATCCAGGACCTTGAGGAACTCCGGGCGGATCTCATCCACCCCCGGGGCCCTGCCACCGAGGAGCTTTTTAACCACCTCGGCGACCTCGCCCACAGAGATTGGAGAGCCCAGTCCAGAGTCCCCAGGCCCAGCTTCTTCAATGGAAGACATGTTGGTGGGATTGAGGAGGTCTTCGAAGTATTCCGCCCACCGACCCACAACGTCCCGAGTCGAGGTCAGCAGCACACCATCCCCACTATAAACAGTGTTGGTGCTGCACCGCTTCCCCCTCCTGAGACGCCGGATGGCGGACCAGAATCGCTTCAGAGCCGTGCGGAAGTCTTTCTCCATGGCCTCTCCAAACTCCTCCCACACCCGAGTTTTTGCCTCAGCAACCATCCGAGCCGCATGCCGCTTCGCCCACCGGTACCCATCAGCTGATTACGGAGTCCCACAGGCCAAAAAAACCTGACAGCATCCCTCACCGGAGGCGTCCACCAACGGGTTCGAGGGTTGCCGCCACGACAGGCACCGACAACCTTGCGGCTGCAGCACAGATAAGCTGCCTCGACAATGGAGGAACGGAACATGGTCCACTCTGACTCAATGTCCCCCACCTCCCCCAGGATGTGTTCGAAGTTCTGCCGGAGATGGGAGTTAAAGCTCCGCCTAACAGGAGACTCCGCCAGACGTTCCCAGCAGACCCTCACAACACGTTTGGGCCTGCCAGGTCTGACCGGCATCCTCCCCCACCACCGGAGCCAACTCACCACCAGGTAGTGGTCAGTGGAAAGCTCCGCACCTCTCTTCACCCGAGTGTCCAAGACATACGGCCGCAAGTCCGATGAAACGATGACAAAGTCGATCATCGAACTGCGGCCTAGGGTGAGATGGTGCCATGTGCACATATGAACACCCTTATGCTTGAACATGGTGTTCGTTATGGACAATCCATGACGAGCACAGAAGTCCAACAACAGAACACCACTCGAGTTCAGATCAGGGCGGCCAATCCTCCCAACCACGCCCCTCCAGGTCTCACTGTCATTGCCCACGTGAGCGTTGAAGTCTCCCAGCAGAACAAGGGAGTCCCCAGGAGGGGCACCCTCCAGTACCCCCTCTAAGGACTCCAAGAAGGGTGGGTAATCTGAACTGTTGTTCGGCCCGTAAGCACAGACAACAGTCAGAACCTGTCCCCCCACCCGTAGGCGGAGGGAGGCTACCCTCTCGTTCACCGGGGTAAACCCCAATGTACAGGCGCCGAGATGGGGGGCAACAAGTATGCCCACTCCTGCCTGGCGCCTCTCACCGTGGGCAACTCCAGAGTGGAAGTATGTCCAGCCCCTCCTAAGGAGACTGGTTCCAGAACCAGAACCATGCGTTGAGGTGAGACCGACTATTTCTAGCCGGAACCTCTCAGCCTCACGCACTAGCTCCGGCTCTTTCCCCACCAGCGAGGTGACATTCCACGTCCCAAGAGCCAGCTTCTGCAGCTGAGGATCGGAGCGCCAGGGTCCCCTCCACCCAACACACATTGCACCCGACCCCTATGGCCCCTCTCACGGGTGGTGGGCCCATGTAAGGGGGGACCCATGTTTCCTCTTTGGGCTGAGCCCGGCCGGGCCCCATGGGTAAAAGCCCGGCCACCAGGCGCTAGCCATCGTGCCCCCCCTCCAGGCCTGGCTCCAGAGTGGGGCCCCGGTGACCCGCGTCTGGGCGAGGGAACGCTGAATCCAAATATTTTATTCATCATAGGGGTCCACACTTTCTCTGCTCTCTTTTTCTCATGGTCTTCTCCTTCTTTCCCATCGCCCGGCTTGCCACAGGTTTGCCTGCTGTGTCTAACAGTAGCAGCAGCAGCAACCCAGACTGACAGCTCATTGGCTCATTTGGATCACGTGCAGCCTGGAGCCGGACGCTCCCCAGGGCTTTACCGTATTAACAGGAGAAGAGGAGCAAATGAAGTTAGACACTGTCATTGGACAACATGCAGTAATTTATAAATGTTTTAAATCAAGTTGGGTTCGGATTATCCAGCAGGTGGATCCGCTACTCCGTTACCTCTGGTCTAAAGGTTGATTGTTAGTTGGCGACTGGCATCCAGTCATGATCATTTGTGCTTTGTTAAATTTAGATTGATTTGTGTTTTTTTAAGTAATTTTTGTTGTAAAAAAAACACCTTCTACATGTCTTCCTATCGCTGTTCTTTAGCCTCTTTGGCCAAGCTAGTTTCCCACAAACAGCTTTTCTACCTATGTCATCGTGAACCTCAGCTCTGTCCTTGAAAGCAGAAATCTCCTCTCCTCTCATGTCGTCATATTTCTTTTTACAGCTCCTGACCGGCCATGTGATCCAGCAGAAGCTGCCACTTAGTCCCTGGATTTGAGGAGACCCAGCTTTGTGCTCTGTGACCGACAGCGATGGGTCCCCAAGGTCGCACTCTGGCCTTGACTTTGCTTGTCGGGCTTCTGTGTTTGCTGACCTGCTCATCTGATGGTTCCCTGGTGAAAGTCAATAAGGGCTTAAAGGTGAAACGAGGTCAGTCAGTCTACCTCCAGGAAGGTGACCTGCAATTCCACATTCCCGTCCAGAAGGATGTCTGCAAGGTGGAGGTAGTGCCAAACGAGCCCATAACTCAACGAGTGGGAAGACTTGTGCCTCAGGTAATGGAGCCCTTAGACAGTAGGAGCAACATGTACCAATACACTGATCATGTTTAAAAATAACATAAATATTTACATTTGATCTAACATGATGAGCCTGAAAGATTGGGTTGCACATCATTGCATGTATGTTTCACATTTCTGGTAGATTTAGATTGTTGTGGTTATTTTTCCTAAAAAAAACACATCATGGAAAAAAAGATGTATGTGGATATTTTTAAAACAAAACCTGCATTTGAACCCATGGCAAAAAACACACACATCCACACACACTTGCTTTACATGACTTTCGAGGACATTTCTTGAATGACTTGCATTCATTTTATATGGCCTTACCCAGACCCTATTACCAACATATACCTAACCTAAAATGTGATATTTAAAACAAATTTTGGAAAGAATACAAGATGCAAAACTCGATCTGAAAAAGGGAAATAAATTATACAAACATATATAAAAGAAATGAAAAAGAAGATTCGGAAAAAAAAGTAAAATGTTAAAAAAAAAGAAAAAAATGTCGTTTATGTTTTGGGGAAAAAAATGTTAATTTGAAAAATGAAATCTCAGAAAAAAGCACTGTTACACTGAAAAACTATTTTTTTTATTAAGAAAGTTTTACATTTTCATTTCTGGATTGTATTTTTTCTTTAAGATATCTAAGAAATTTTTTACTTTTTTATTTTCATTTTCAAAAAGAATTTCTTTGCTTGAAGCAATGATGGAACAAACTTAACTTCGTACAAAAAGCACATTTCCTTTATAAACCTGAATTTTTTGGCGCCATTTAAACTTTTCAACATTTCACTAAGAATCAGAAATAAACAACAAAGCAAATCATTATTAATGTTTGTGCTAATAATTAATGGAAGATTCCCTTTAATTGCTGTAGGTGTTTGACTGCCATTATCTGTCTGATGAAGTAAAGTATGTCCACAATGGCTGTCCGTTGTTAAAGGACGATACCGTCAAGCTTCGCCTATACAGGTAAAAGATTCAACACTGAAGAATTCATGCATATTTATGGGTTTTAATTCATCCTGAAAGATAAACTAAGGTTTTTTCTGAATATTGCTTCTTATTTTTTATTGTTTCTGACCAGGTTCACAGAGACAGAGACACACATGGAGGTGTTTACTCTCCATGTGGACATTATAGCGCCTGAATGCAACATCATTAAGATGGGTCCTAAATCCCTCCAGGTCTCTGAGTTCTACGGCCTCTCTGATGCTATTGATGGTAACGTGGTTTCCTTTCACTATGAAAGGAGATCCAGTCTGGAATGTAGCGTCCAGCTTAGACCCCAGGAATCCCACCTTCCAGCTCACGGCCGGCTGGTCACTGGAGACCCAGAAAGAGCCACCAAGAGAGGCGACGAGCCAGAAAGTTTCATCCACTTACAGCAGCAGCTAGGTGAGCTTTGAAAGAAGTTCTATGCTTAAAGCTTTATTAAAAAACAGGAAGCAAAACAACCTGAGGTGTAATGGCACACCTACTCTGTTTGCACCAAAATCTACCTTCCAATGTTTTGTAGGGTAGCCTTGAAAAGCGACACCAAAGAGAAACTGAGAGGCCTCCTACCTTTCTTAACTCTGATGTTAAGGAACAATAGGATTCCTTTTTCAGTCATAGGTTTCTGGTTTATAGTACAACGCCGACCATTAAGTGAAAAGGCAACAGCTTGAAGCAAAATATGTTGGTATAAGTAACAGAAATTATAATTCAATTCAGTTTATTTCTATAGCACCAATTCACAACACGTCATCTCAAGGCACTTTATCATTAATCAGATCATACAGTCATAGTTTTCTATCAAAGGAAAACCAGCTGATTGCATCGACTCATTGACTCGAAAGCAATCCCTCACACTAAGCATGCTTGTAGCGACAGCGGAGAGGAAAAACTCCCTTTTAACAGGAGGAAACCTCCAGTAAAACCAGGCTCAGCGTGAGTGGCCATCTGTTGAGGCCGACTGGGGTTCGAGGAGACACAAACAGAGATACAAAAAGCAACTGTCAACCAGCTTGACAGACGACCCCGTCCAGGAAACACACAGCCAGGCAGATGAGCTCCAAGCCAGCTCTGATGTAGGAGGATGAAAGAGAGTAGATCTAGCCAGTCACAGTCAGAGAAACAGGGCTACACTGAAAAACAGGCCAAGCTCCAACATCTAGAAACAAAGGTGTTGATGGCAGCAGCACAGCTGATATTTCTCTCCAGGATGGAGTCAGATTGAACTAACAGATTCTGCAGAGTGGGAGAATAGAGATAGAATGAAGCAGAATGATAAAAAAGGGGTCCTTATGTCCTCCAGCAGTCAAGGCCTATAGCAGCATAACTATAGAGATAGCTCAGGATAACCTGAGCCACTCTAACTATAAGCTTTATCAAAAAGGAAAGTTTTAAGCCTAGCCTTAAAAGTAGACAGGGTGTCTGCCTCACGGACTAAAACTGGTAGTTGGTTCCACAGGAGAGGAGCCTGAGAACTAAAAGATCTGCCTCCCATTCTACTTTTAGAATAATAATGCAGTCGTTTAGCCGTTACATCCAATCATCCAAAACTTCCTACAGCACATAAAATGCATGTTTAAATAGCATTGTTAGTTGAAGTTTAAAGATATTTATTTTTTTATTCCTATACATTTCATTCCAAACTGGCGGTTCATGAGAATGATTTGAGTTGTAATCTCTGGCAGTGGGTGTGATCTCATTTACCTAGCTATTGTTGAGTCTCCTACCCCGCAAGAGAACAAATGGGACTGTTTGTAATAACATAACTAATGACCAACCATGAAAGCGCCTCAAACACCATCAAAGACTCTACATAAGAGTAAGAAAAATTTAATTAAGTTTAGTGCTTAGAAAGAAGCCAAACTGGAGTCCATTCTGTGACTGAATAAGACAAAAGTAAACATTGGGACAGCTTTCAACTAATGAAGAAAACTCAGATTTGTCTGGTGAATAAAAATGGAGCTGAGATTGGTTTTGATGTTCCTTTCAGAATAATTTCAATTAGTATAACTTTTTTAATCTCAAAAGACATTCCACCTCTGAAACAAAAGAAATGGAAAGTCTCCATGGTGGACAGTGATGCTTTTTCTCTTCTCCCATTCACACTACTGGAGTCCTTTTAAGCCCAGCGTACACTGTGCGATTTTCGGGTCGATTTTCCAGTCGTGCGAGTATTTTTTCGGTCCGACTTTCAGCCTGATCGTGCGTCGTGAGTCGTGTAGTGTACAGGAGGTTACGAGCGGCGATCAGCCTCTAGTTCCTGCTAGGGTACTTCCTATAGAGTGTCCATTAATTAGTAGTGTTGGGCCAATGCCATTTTTTGGCCCCGATACCGAAACCCGATACCTGGCTGTGCAGTATCGGCCGATACCGATACCATAATAATGTAAAATAATTGCCATCATGGTTTTGTAAAGCTGCTGCCTACCTTTGTGAAGCAGGAAAAAAACTAAAACAAAGTGAATCCAGTAGAACTTTTTATTGCCTACCTGGAATGGGTGACAATAGTTTAATAAACTTTTGGCTCTCAAAATGGTATCGGTGCCCTATTTGTTGGTACTCGCCGATACTGATACCACCATTTTAGGGCAGTATCGGGGCCCCGTCCGATACTGGTATCGGTATCGGTGCAACACTATTAATTAGTCGTTCCTTTCACCTTTCACACAGTGAACAATGAGAAACTCTATCATGGGTAGTAAAGTAGATTCAGAGTGTCAATCTTTAATTTTATACAGTGTATGTCCCTTTAAATAACCTAATTGCTTTATTTCAAAAATATCCACTGGACTTGGTTTTCAAGATTTGAAGACGTTTCGCCACCTCTCCAGGAAGCTTTCTCAATTCAAATGTCTGGATCCGCAGTGAGTTTGAGTCTTATATGGACAAGGCCTTGTAATGCTTGGAAACATGCAATGGTAACCGATGAATGGGTAGTTAGTTCCATCGTTAGCCTGTAATATCTGAACCTGTCTATGATTCGAGGGGTCGGTCGTTAAAGGGGGGATTGACCGACCCCTAGAATCATAGACAGGTTCAGATATTACAGGCTAACGATGGAACTAAACGACCCATTCATAAAACATTTGAATTGAGAAAGCTTCCTGGAGAGGTGGCGAAACGTCTTCAAATCTTGAAAACCAAGTCCAGTGGATATTTTTTGAATTTTTACGGAATGACTATGACCTGGATGTCTGAGAACCTTCATCAGCTTTATTTGTTTCTTTGATCAGATAATAAAGCAAGAGCAATGTGTAAATCTGAACACTGCCTAAAGGGTCTGAAGCTAGTGACGTTCACTAAAGTCCCATGTGATGACTTCCTCCTGATGGGATTAAAGTACCAACACATAGATCCCCCGTCTCCAGATATAGACTACATTGTAATCAGACTTGACCTCAAGGACACCAGGAGTGGCAGCATATATCAGGTAATCTGGGAACTTAGTCCGACCATGTGCAAAAGGTTGTACTTTCTTTGATTTGGTTTAGACCTTTCTCTAACTTGTTATATCTGTTTTTGTTTTCTGTAGTCTGAGCAGGCCTGGCTTCCGGTCCGGATAGTTGGCGCAATGCCCAACCAGCCTCCCAAACCATCTTTCATGTCCATGTTTATCTTGGAGGTAGACCAGTTCATTCTCACGCCCCTCTCCACTGCCACATTGGACGCTGAAGATGAGGAAACTCCAAAACAGCTTCTGGTTTTTAACGTCACAAACCCCCCCAAGGAAGGCTTTATCACCCACCTATCTGATCACACTCATCCCATCTCATCCTTTACATGGCTCGATCTGAATGACATGCTCATAGCATATCAACCTCCGAATTCTTCACATTCCCAACGAAGGAATTATGAGGTAGAGCAAATTATTGTTTCAACTGTTTTATGACAAACTTTCTGTCTTGTGTCACTGTAAACTTGCAAGACTTCTTTTCTTGACAGGTAGAATTGGAGGTTTATGATTTCTTCTTTGAGAAGAGCTCATCCATAACTGTCCACACATCTGTAAGGAATGCAGATACAAATGCACCAAGAGTGTCCTGGAACATGGGTAGGTTAGGATGTTTTGATAGCTGGTAAAATTAAGTTTTCATTCACCTGATTAGGCATTTTGCATCATTTCTCCAGAAGAAAAATGAGAAGGAGATCTTTTAGTTATCAGGGCCCAGAGATTGGAAATGTGGAGTCAACAAGTCATCTCCATGTCATGTATTTAATCTACCCAGCCAATTAACCAGGTGAGTCCAATCTGCACAGGTTAATTCACGGTGAAGGTTGGACTCACCTGCTTCAGTGGGTGGGTAGAAAAAATACATGACATGGAGATGACTTGTTGACTAAACATTTCCCATCTCTGTCAGGGCCCCATTTCTATGAGACCACTAAAAGTTGAGGCGGACACCGTGTCTACTTTTAAGACATGGCTTAAAACATTCCTTTTTAATAAAGCTTGCAGTTAGAGTGGCCCCAATTGTCCTGGGACATCTCTATATTCATGCTGCTATAGGCTTAGTCTGCTGGAGGACAAAGGGACGACTTATCGTAGTAGTTTATTTAAACTCAACAAGGGATTTCTCTGATTTAAGTTTCATTGTTTTCCTTGTGTAGGTAAGGGTCCCATGGTCCAATCACATGCTTGTTAGGTTAACTAGCAACTCCAAAGAAAGACTATGCATGGTTGCCTTTTTTTGTCTTATCCTGGGATCCTCGTCCTTGACTGCATGTTTAGAAAATACCACATCTCTTATTGGGATGGACTATAGGTGGTAAGAGAATACAGAAGTAAGCAGATCCCCCCCCAAAAAAAAAACACAAAAGAAAAACAGTGATCCTAAGCTATGTTACGTGATTTTTTAAATTAAATTCAGTTTATTTCTATAGCGCCAATTCACAACACACGTCCTCTCAAGGCACTTTACTGTCCACCAGTGATTAAACGTTTTCTATCTAAGGAAAACCAGTTGATTGCATCGCCTCATTGACTCAAAGGCAATCCCTCACACTAAGCATGCTTGTAGCTAGAGTGCGAAATACGGGGGGGTCTGGGGTGGCTCGACCCCCCCCCCCCCGATTAACCCGTGAGACCCCCTGAATGCCCCAAAAGCAAAATTTAAAGGAGGTCTTAAATTGTGTAAAAAAAATTTAAAATATATTTTGGTCACTAATGGTCACTAAAATGTTTTTATGCTCAACATGTCTGGTATTTAAAATTAAAAACATTTATTCACAAAAATGTTCTGTTTTTTTTGCCAAGTATAGTATAGCTAGCCAATCCTGTGTGCGTATGCAAATTAGCCATGTGCAGGCTAAACAGAAGAAAGACATAACGGGGCAGAAGAAGTTAGTTTTCCTAACATGCACCGGGCAGCATGTTCAGTATTAGGAGCTGCCAGTTAATGTCAATCTTTTCCAGGTTATTAAGTTACATGTTTTACTTGTTACTGTTATGTCTGTTATATCATCAGAGTTTCTGTTATAATCTGAGGTACTTGTTTCACAGTGAGTCTGTAAGGTATGTCCGTTAATGAAAATTTAGATCGGTATAGCGTAACAATCGGGAGATGGGGACCCCCCCAAATATTGACAGGTATTTCGCACACTGCTTGTATCGACAGTGGAGAGGAAAAACTCCCTTTGAACAGGAAGAAACCTCAAGGAGAACCAGGCTCAGTGTGAGCGGCCATCTGCTGAGGCCAACTGGGGTTCAAGGAGACAGAAGCAAGACAATTTGAAAAGTCTTATATAGAAAAGAAACAGAGGGAAATGTAATATTTAGTAGACCGATAATGAGATGGATAGACATATGGAAGGACCTCAACCAATGCTGTCCTTTGGTTCTACTTCAACTCCTTCAGCAGCTTCAAATCAACAGAGGAATGCGAGGGAACTAACCAACATTACCCAGCATTAGACCGCCACTTTCCCTAAAAAGTTTGATATCCTGATGCAGACTCCAACTCACAACTTAAAGGAATAGTACACCCAAAACATGATTAGCCTTCATTTTCTACTCACCCCCATGCTGAACAACTCTCGGAGTACTTTTTTGATATCTCAAATGCATCTGGAGATCTGGGAGGCTTCTTGCTGTCTGCTGACATTCAAATAATGGAGGTCTATGGTGTCCGAGACAGAAAGGTCCATAAAAATCCACAAAAAACGTGTCAGTATTCCTCCATATTGCTCGTCCAATGTATTCCAAGTGTCCTGAGTGGGTAGCATCCAGAATTTACTCGAAACAAAGTCATTTAGAATGTTTTTAGAGCATAAACAGTAGTGTATAGGATTTCCTAAAAGCGCGTTCACGAGTCTACAGAAACCGCGGCAGACCAAACCAGATGAAAGTGCGCATTCAACTCGGTAAAGAACTCATGCTCTTCCTCAACACTGAAGTCCTCAGACATTTTTCTTTCGTTGTTTCTTTCTTTGCACAGGTAAACAGCACATTTCTTCTTCTACACTTGCAGTATCGGCAGAGCAGACGCTGAATGCGCACTTTCATCTGGTTTGGTCTGCCGGCTTCCGTAGCGTCGTGAACGCGCTGGCGCGCGTTTTCAGGAAATCCTATACACTACTGTTTATGCTCTAAAAACATTCTAAATGACTTCGTATCGAGTAAATTATGGACGCTACCCACTCAGGACACTTGGAATACATTGGACGAGCAGTATGGAGGAATATTGACACGTTTTTTGTGGACTTTTATGGACATTTCTGCCTTGGGCGCCATAGACCTCCATTATTTGAATGTCAGCAGACAGCAAGAAACCTCCCAGATCTCCAGATGCATTTGAGATATCAAAAAAGTACTCCAGAGTGTTGTTCAGCATGGGGGTGAGTAGAAAATGAAGGCTAATCATGTTTTGGGTGTACTATTCCTTTAAGAGGTAGGCCTACAATTAAAAAATAAGTACCCAAGAGGTATAGCCAGATGCCCATAATTGAAGCACTGGAAAGTGCCAAACAAAGGCTCCAAGCCTTGGCCAGCCGCCTAAGACAGACTTAGATAGATTTATTTTGTCATTTTGTTTACACCAGTTTAAACAAAAATAAATTTGTGGACTCCGCCCACATTCTTTTTGTGGGCGGAGTCAAAAAAAAAAGAATGTGGGTGGAGTCTTTTCTATATCTATGTGCTTTGCAAGTGGTGGTAGCATTCTAACTGAGACTCCCAGCGGTAAGCTGACTATTATTGGTCCTCAAAGCTCTTTTGGATTTAAACTCCAACAAATCACAAAATGCCTTCCCGGGAAAAGTATTGTGAACTAAAACAGTTGCGTGAGTTGAATAGGAGAAACGTTCAATACCTCTGTGGACTGAACGAGCAACTGGAAAGGGACTTACCTGAAATTGATTTTACATGTGATGCTAACAGCTGGATTCAAAATGAGATAAAGTTTAGTAAACTGTTGGAAAAAAGGGTCCAGGGGCTTCAACAAGAACTCAAAGCCCAGGAGGCTTTCCGGATGAAACAACATCAGGAAGATGAAAAAGTAGAAGCTTTACGTTGGAGAAATGCTGAACTTAAGCAGCAGGCAAAAACAGCAGAAGAACAGTTAGTCTATATAACTGTAATGAAGCTTCAGTTCAAAATTGCAAAAGCGCAGGAGGAAAAGTTAAAGAAAAACAACAAGATATTGATGGAAATGATTGAAAGCTTGACAAAAGAACTGTCATTTCAAACTAAACTGGATAAGAGTTACAGAGAGACTCAAGAATTGCTTGATGAGTTGGAGAAAGTTGAAATAAGTTTTTTACAAAAGATTCAGGAAAAAAAACAAAACTTGAAACCTGGGATGACTATATGGTTCGCCTATTTGGGAAAAAGGAAGCAACACAAGATTGAAAAACAAATAACTTCCATCATGAAGAAAATGAAGGATATGAAAGAATATCTTGATCATATTGAGCCCTATTTTAGAAAAGACCCGACGCTCATGAACAAGTTTCTGTCTAGGGCAAGGGAGACATACGAGCAAACCGACTCACAAGACAGTGAGTCAGAAATGGAAGAGGTTTCAGAGCTGTCCCAACCTGAATGGGAATCCTCCACTGATCCAGAGTTGAGGACGTCCAAATCTGAATGTGAATCCTCCACTGATCCAGAGTTGAGGACGTCCAAATCTGAATGTGAATCCTCCACTGATCCAGAGTTCAGGACGTCCAAATCTGAATCTGAAACCTCCACTGATCCAGAGTTCAGGACGTCCAAATCTGAATCTGAAACCTCCACTGATCCAGAGTTGAGGACGTCCAAATCTGAATTTGAATCCTCCACTGATCCAGAGTTGAGGACGTCCAAATCTGAATGGGAATCCTCCACTGATCCAGAGTTCAGGACGTCCAAACCTGAATGTCAAACCTTTTCTGACCCAGAATTGAGGACGATCTCTGAAGCAGATTTAGAGGAACAATCTGTGGAGACGGTGGCAGGAAAGCTCAGTTCCAGTGAAGTGTTAAGATATTACAGCATAATATTTAAAAACACATGATTGAGAGATGGGGAATTTTGTACGTATAAGCCCACTTTGTTGGGATGTGTGTGAGTAAATCACACTAGTTTATTCTTTAAAAAAGCTTGTGCATAGTTATTAACACGGCTGCATCACTGCACTGCAGGGTCCAAAGCTCACCTGCTGTGTTTCTCTGTGATGTTGGCGTGCTGTGACTGTGCATCTGTGGGTTCTCTCCCCTGTGGGCTCTGGCTCGCCCACAGGGTTTTAAAACCTCCTCGATTGGTTCACTTCGGTTTAGAAATGTCATGATCACTAGTCTTTTCTTCTGGTAACTTGCTGCCTGCTTATGCAGCTAGAAATATCTCGGTCTGTTAAGTTGGATGAACAGTAGTTTGTCAAACATCCTTTCACAGGGGTTTAGGGTAGGGATGCACAACATTGGGATTTTGGCCGATATCCGATATGCCGATATTTTAAAACTCATGTAACCGATATCGATACTGATGTTAAAGCTGGACAAAAGTATATATATATAAATATATATATAAAGAGAGAGAGAGAGAGAGATTTTTAAAAACGCGGTATCGATCTATATTACTTTCAAAATATGAAATTTCATCGTTCTGTTACAAACTCTCGTGATATTTAGCAAATTCTTGTGAGATTTTGTTAGTAAAATAGATCCATACCGCGTCAATATATCAACATATAAAAATATGGCAACATTTGGTGAATTTTCGGGGGATTTCGTAGCATAACGATGACATATAGCAATATTTAATTAGTAAAAGAGATTGATATGGTGTTTTTAAATGGCAATATATCAGCATATGAAGATATTGGGATATTTTAATGTATGAATATTTTTCCCTCGTCTTTAGAAGTTTTTAAGTCTGTAAAAAAGAAGTTTTTGAGGAAGAAGAAGTAGTATTATATATATATATATATATATATATATATATATATATATTTTTTTTTTAGACTTTAGAAACTCAGAGGCTGATCAAATATCGGGTTAGTATCGGTGGGGTGGCCGATGTCCGATATTCAGTTTTAAGGCCGATACCGATAGGGGGCCGATTATATCGTGCATCCCTAGTTTAGGGTTTTCCAGCAGGAAAGATGTGATTGGTCTGGCTTGGGAGAACAGTTAAAAATGGGCATCATGTTACTGCTCCACATGACGTGGACCAACTTTAGTGATCTGCCATTCTGGGATTTTTGGTTATGCCACTAGAGGGTTCCACACTGCGGTATTAAGTTCTCTTCCTGTTTTGACTGCTGAGCTGCGTTGTTGTTCAGGCTTCTCCGTCTTTTTATTTCTGTGATATCTCCTTATACAAGTAACTCCAACTGTCAAGAAGCACTTTAAAGCCTAGCTTGAACATCCAGGTGTTAAAATAGGCCCACCAAGACACCCCACCTAGTTGTCCTCTAACATTGCCTGAGCAGCTATGCGATTGGGTAACCGTACGCAGAAAACGTAGTCGTAGATGTCTGCCCACTGGTCGCCACTAACCCATCCATATTTCTAACCGATTTTCCCCGCTCATGGACGTACCCACTGGGTATTCACTTGGTAATGACACGCAGTTACGCCGATCGGAGGCAGTGATGGGCAGTAGCGCCGCTACATGTAGCGAAGCTATTAGTTTAACTACATGTTCCAGTAGCTTGACTGTAGCGTAGCCGCTTTATTTATCAAGTAACTTTCCAGTAGTGACGTTATTGTTTTTTTCAAGTAGTGACGTAGCGTCCACAAACGCTACAAAATCCAGGGCAAAACTAAGTAATGAAACCAGGTTTTCTATTTTTTAAACAACAATCGGAGTTATTTGTCGGACATTTATGCATTAGCCTCTATTCTGCCTCTCCTGTCTGTATCTACGAAACATGCGCATGCGTACTGCAGTGGAACTCAAAGAACACACACATGTTGTGTCACAATATCCTTGTGGGGACCTTCCATTGACTTCCATTCATTTCCCACTAATTTATATGGCCTAACCATGACCCCTGCCCTAACCCTAACCATTACCGACACATACCTATCCTTAAACCTAACCTAAACTCAATTCACACCTTAGTCCTAAACCTAACCCCCACCCCACAAAGAGAAATTTTCCTTATGGGGAACAGTTGTTGGTCCCCACAAGTACCTATGAGTCCCCAAAATGTAGCATATTCCTAGGAAATTGTCCCCACCAGGTATTAAAGACATGGCCACGCACACACACAGAGCCACACACACAGGATGGAGGAGGAGACAGGATCAGAGCGAGAAGAGCAGCCAACTGTCGCTACCACACCGCGGCTTTATCTTCAGAGATATTGAAACTTGTTGAATCCTCAGATAAAAAGTACGTGTTCAGATGTCTGCTATGCAATCCAAAAACCAAACCGTTGTCAATGTCCAGGACATTGAACACCAACCTGAGAACTCACATTCAGGTGAATCACTGATTTCCCTGCTGCAGTATGCAAGTGAAAATATCTAGCGTCAGTTTAAATCCCAACTCACTGTAGCCAAATGCTGTATGTAAATTAGTAAACCCAAAGCTTCCCACCTACCAACAAGCAGCGTGTGATGGAAAGGGACTATCTAAGAAAAAGTGTTAAAAAAAAAGTTTATGCAGTTATTATAATTGTAAAATTCGATTAGCCTGAATAATGTTCAGTTATTCAAACATGAGTGATTTTAAAGGTTCTTGGCCATAGAGAGCTCATGTGGCCAAGACTAGCCATTTGTTTTACATAGCCAAACACTCATTAAAACAGTCAACTGCAGTCAAGTTTTTGAAATAAAAATGAGAAAAATATATCAGCTTTAACTTTATTGTCGCCTTTAATTTCCAGATAGTTCAATCTGATGAGTGCCACTAACATATTCTGATTAGAGAGCAGTAGCCAAACTTAGATATTGTATTTTCATGGCCTAATTTACCAGACAGGATGTTTACATAAATCTGTTTTAAGTCTTATTTGCACAGATAAGATTTTTTAGGTATGGAGGAACAGCTCTACCGTATATAAAAATAAATACATGCTCAATAAATAAATAAGCATTCAATTAATTACCCCCAAAATACAATGAATAAATATGTAGGTAGAAATTAAATGATACAGTGAGACATAAATTTATATATATCTCTTAATTAGCTTCTTTATTTTTCACCTTCTTTTGTAAACAGTTTCATTTGTTACTTGAATCGACTGTTTAATTGAGGTCTGAAGAAGTTTTCTCAAAGGGAGACCCTAAAGAAATAAGATGCCTTTTGTAGGGTTTTGTTTTCCCTAGAGATGTCCATTGAATGCAAACTCATAGCCATGTCTCGATATGTAGAACACTACACAGTACCTTCAATTTGGTTTTAATAACAGCAGATTGTTTACTAGTTTGTCTACTAGTAAATACTTTAGTTTTTATTTTATTATGCTGATCATAAAGATATTTTTACACAGTTTTATGTGATTGGCTGATCTTTAATAAATATTTTAACCAGTGTATTAGGCTACGTTCACACTGCAGGCCTTAATGATCAATATGCACGAGACAGAAAGGTCCATAAAAGTCCACAAAAAACGTGTCAATATTCCTCCATACTGCTCGTCCAATGTATTCCAAGTGTCCTGAGTGGGTAGCGTCCATAATTTACTCGAAACGAAGTCATTTAGAATGTTTTTAGAGCATAAACAGTAGTGTATAGGATTTCCTGAAAGCGCGCACCTGCGCGATCACGACGCTACGGAAGCCGGCAGACCAAACCAACGCATTCAGCTCGGCAAAGAACTCATGCTCTTCCTCAACACTGAAGTCCTCAGACATTTTTCTTTCGTTGTTTCTTTCTTTGCACGGGTAAACAGCACATTTCTTCTTCTTCGCTTGCATTATCGGCAGAGCAGACGCTGAATGCGCACTTTCGTCTGGTTTGGTCTGCCGCGGTTTCCGTAGACTCGTGAATGCGCTTTTGGGAAATCCTATACACTACTGTTTATGCTCTAAAAACATTCTAAATGACTTCGTTTCGAGTAAATTCTGGACGCTACCCACTCAGGACACTTGGAATACATTGGACGAGCAGTATGGAGGAATATTGACACGTTTTTTGTGGACTTTTATGGACCTTTCTGCCTCGGGCGCCATAGACCTCCATTATTTGAATGTCAGCAGACAGCAAGAAGCCTCCCAGATCTCCAGATGCATTTGAGATATCAAAAAAGTACTCCAGAGTGTTGTTCAGCATGGGGGTGAGTAGAAAATGAAGGCTAATCATGTTTTGGGTGTACTATTCCTTTAACAAGTGGTAGGTCAGCGCACTCTTGTGCATAGAAGCCATCTGTGTTGCTGTCTATTTGATACCATTTATCATTAATACATTACTGTACTAGACTTTAACAGCTTTTTTTTTGAGAATACATAAAACATGATAGACCCATTTATTCAAAGAGACCTGAGAGATTGTTTCCAGTTTAAGCTTTAAGGTATAGTGCAGGATGTTTTTTGTTCTTTTGTCTGGGTGGATCATAAAAATAAGCGGTTCTCCTAATTGTCAATCATTCTGGTGACATGTATACGTAAGGCTGTCCCACGTGCCCGTCCCCATTTTCACTTACCGGCGGTGAGTCTGACATAGAGGAAAATTTGCAAATCTTCTTTTGGAAAGTGAGTCGTTTTCTCTCAAGAACGGGTACAGAGTTGTGCATGTGCAATCTTTTGGGGGGGCGTGGAGACTTTGGGTCTTTTCAAAAATTTGTGAAAATCCTCCACTATATCTTTAACCTTCATATTTTGTTGAGCAGGTCTTAGTCTGCTGGAGGGTCAGTCTCGTCCGATAACGTGGGACCAATTGCAAATCGTGGATAATGACAATCTGAATGTAGTTCGAGTCATCACTGTGGATGGCCTCCTGCATGGACACCTAACTGTAAGAGGTACTAACACACCGAAACACTGACCTTATGAAATTTCACCTGTAAACAAATGAGTACCTGCTACTGAAAGTCAATTCAAATCTGATGCATTTTGATTTAACAAACCTTTTCTGGATTATTCTATCCATACCATAGACCCTCATTCTACATGAAAAATAACATTTTCTTGAAATTGGTAAATCAGCTTTTGTTAAACTTTCCAATAGCGTAATAGTATTCCTATTTAATATCTTTGAACAACATATCTTTGTATGTTTGTTAACTTATCAACTGCACAATTTTATCCTTATCAAAGCTGGTGCATCTATAGTCCTTCAATTTGAGTTGACTCAGAACACAATGATGCAGAATCCTAGATTATATATGCTCTATTGAAATGTATTCACCAGTTTTCTTGTTCTGCCATTAATCCAGGTGGAAAGGGTTTCATGTTCACCATCAATGACATAAAAGCAGGAGTTGTCTGTTATCACCATGATGACAGCGACTCCACAAAGGACTTTGTCATTTTTCGCATCACCGATGGCCGCCATCAGACCCGACACAAGTTTCCCATCAAAATTCTCCCCAAAGATGACAGCCCTCCGTTCCTTATAACCAACATGCTGGTGGAGGTCTTGGAGGGCCAGACCACCCTGCTCAGAGGCTCCACCCTCAAGGCTTCAGACATGGACTCTAGTGATGACTATATCCTCTTTAATATCACTCGCCTCCCGCAGGCAGGAGAGGTCATGAAAATCCCAGGACCAGGGCTGGCAGGTCAGGAAGACTGACCAAGTTCATCTCTGATCTTATATTGTGTAATGTCTTTAACATCCTGCTTGTTTTGATTTCTGTTCAGGGTACCCCGTGAGCCGCTTCCTTCAGAAGGACCTTTCCCAGTCCATTGTGTACTACAGACACCTTGGGAACGAGGTGTTTGATGACTCATTTGAGGTTGTTCTGTCTGATTTCCATGATCCCCCTAACCTTTCAGAACCTCAGGTGAGTGATACTGACACATCTTTACCTCAATGGTACCATGCATTACCTGACCAGATACTGTGTAGATAGGTGGTAAATGAATTCCATATCACAGTGAAAGTTCTCAGTCCTCCTGAACCATGAAGACATTAAACAAAGTTTTACAGAATTCCTTCATAGTTGGATATCTATGCCCCCATTTAGAACACCCTTTTAAAACCATGCTGAGATCGGTCCGAGAACAATAACCGAGATAACTGTTGAGTGTAAATGGCACGCACAACTGAACCTGACCGCGGCAGACACAACCGACCCACGCTAACATGGTACTAGTCCATCAGTAGGGCACAGCGCTGTTCAGTTGTGGCTCATTTCTCAGAGCGCATTAGTAGACCGCATCATTTCCTTGCAGTCAGCCTCTTTAATTGTGAAAATTTAAAGACATTGATAAAGATACTAGCTCCCCCACGATTTCCAGTGATGATTATGCTTAGCAGTTTGATAAGCCTTAATGTCTGTCATTGTTTCCTGTGTCTGTAAGCCCTGATCAGACTATCACTTGTCGTATCCACTTCCCAAAAGCCCATTCTGTAAAGTAAATTCTCCAAAGGCTGACTCTTTTGCCTGACTCTCCGCAACCTTCCTAAACGTCACGGGTGCCGCCATGTGATTTGCTTGTTTACGTCAAGAAAGCAGTAGTACCGTAGATCGTCACTAGGAGGCAAGGAACCGTGCTAGCGTGGTGTGTAAATGGTCGTAAAGAACCGAGCTCTGCACAGTTAACTGATCAAAGCTCGGCATGGATCGGATTTCAGAGGGTAGTGTAAATGGGGCTTGTGAGGTTATTCTACTCTATCCATCCAATGTGTATTCCAGCTACATTCTTCAACTATGAACAAATATAGAATGAAGGCAATTAACAGTAATAAAATAATCTGTCAGGTAATGTGAAGTTTTTTTTGGAAAATACAAACCTTATAGAGCAAGGATGTCAAAATAGTTCCAGAAAGGGCAGTGTGGCTGCAGGTTTTCTTTCCAACTAAGCAATAGCAAACCAGACTCCAGTCACCTCATCAAGTCATCATGTTCAGATTTGACTCACTTGATGAGTTGATTTGAGTCTGGTTTGCTATTGCTTGGTTGGAAAGAATACCTGCAGCCATACGGGCCTTTCTGAAACCACTTTGACAACCCTGCTATAAAGAAACAGTCCTAGCTTCATTTAGACCCAGATGATTCTAGCCCTAAGGCAGCAGCACTAACTCTATTCTGTATGAAACACATAAGCCAAACCTGTAAACACAATTCACTTTTTTAGCATCTGGGATTGACATCAGCAATAATAGAGATATCATGGCCAAATATTCCTAGATAGCTGAACTATCTTGGCAGAGAGGGAAAAGATCCCTTTTCGTTTTAACAACATAAAATTGTGGTTCGTGCAAGTTGTCTGTCAATGTATAAAGGTGGTCATTTGGAGTTTAAACGGCTTTTTCGACCAGTGGTAAAGGGGTAATAGAGATGAGTTCGGAGAATCCCCCACCAGGAGGAGCCCTTGGGGCAGACCCAGGACTTATTGGTGATGTTCAGTCAGTAGAATGGATTGAAAAGGCCTCAATTTCCTTTTAGATGAGCAGGAAGGTGTTGTTTCTACTAATGCTCACTATAACATATTATTCATAGGATAGTGTTGCTAATATAATGATGAATGTAATTATAATGGAACTTTATTGATCTTATATTGGAGAAAGTTACCTCTGCATTTAATCCATCCCCTTTGGGAGCCGTAGACTGCCATCAATTTAAGGAGTTAAGGGTTTTGCTCAGAAAGCCAGAGTGGCAGTCTGTGGGGTGGGTTTGGAACTCACAACCTCAGAATTCCAAGCTCTATGCCTTAACCACTAGCCCTCCAATCCCCTCTGATGCTTAGGTCAGGCTAAAGAACCTTTACTGGGCTATTGCTCAATCATTGAAGTAGCCATTTGTGTATAAACGTCAAGAAGATATGAATGTAATTGTATTTTTCCTGTTTTAGTTTGTAGCTGACAAAGCGCTGTCTATCTTCAGGTGGTCGTGGTTCACATAGCCTCTGTTCCAGACCAACCACCAAAGGAGGTTCCTGGTTCCAGGCGTTGTCTTGTGGTTAAAGAAACAGAAATAGCCCACATCACACGGCAACAGCTTCACTTTGCCGACCCAGAGTCGCCAGACAGCGAGCTCACTTACACAGTTACAACTCCACCTTTCTTCTCTGGTCACTACAGGTTAGTTTATTGTTGGCCTGCACTGGTATATGGGTAGAGAGCATCTTTGTCAGACTTGTGTTGTTTTCTTAATTAGCAGCGGTTCAGATGCGGGAAGGTTATTCTTGGTTGACAGCATACCCAAATTTACCAAAGATTCTAATGCACCAGTCCTCAGACTCTTCACACAAGTAAATGACCCTATTCTTAGCGATTTCATTATTCTGTGTGCTATGTGTTTCACTATAAAACTCTTTTTAACACTTTATTCTCTCCAGCATGCAGTGAACTTTATGAAAGTAGCCTACATGCCTCCAATCATGGACATCGGCCCTCACCCTCAGTATATCCAGTTTATTCTGTCTGTGACCAACCATCTGGGAAAAACAGTCACTGGGATCTGCTTTAATATCACTCTAATGCCAGTGGACAATCAGCCACCAAAGGTGCAATCAACAGCTGTCTACTCTCTATCCCACGTGGGAACTCTCACTTGTAGAAATGTTATGAATACTTTCTGTTTCAGGTTATCGCCAACCTTCTGACTGTAGATGAGGGAGGGGAGTCCTTGCTGGGCCCAGAACACTTGCAGGTGTCAGATGTTGACTCTCTGCCAGAAGCATTGCGGGTTGAGCTCCAAAGGGGACCAGAGCATGGCGTTCTGCACGTTGGTGGCCATCCACTGACACCAGGCCAGAACTTTACACTACAGGACCTGATCAGTCGGAGGGTTAGGTCAGACATCATGCTTAATTATACCATGCGTGATTGTGCTAGTCAAACCTAAAAAAAACTTCTTCACTCTGTAGATAGATAGATAGATAGATAGATAGATAGATAGATATATTCCTTGCAGACCAAAAAAATATATATACTTCCTAATTAATTTTGCTATTTCTAACATCCTCAGCTATTCAATTCAATTCATTTTATTTCTATAGCCCCAATTCACAACACATGTCATCTCAACGCACTCTACAGTTCAACCAGATCATCCAGTCAAACTGATTCAAAGTTTTCTATCAAAGGAAAACCAGTTGATTGCATCGACTCATTGACTCGAAGGCAATCCCTCACATGCTTGTGGTGACTGTGGAGAGGAAAAACACCCTTTTGACAGGAAGAAAGCTCCAGCAGACCCAGACAAGGTGTACTGAGGCTGACTGGGGTTCAAGGAGACAGAAGCAGACATAGAAAGAAGCAGAGATACAAAAGGCAACTGTAAACCAGTTCAACAGCAGCACAGCTAATATTTCTCTCTAGGATGGAGTCACAGCTAAACAGAAACAGATCAGATGAAGCTACTATGAGAAAAAAGCAGAGTTCATAGTGTTATGAGATTGAACTAACAAATTCTGCAGAGTGGGAGAATAGAGATAGAATGAAACAGACTGATGAAAAAGGGGTCCCTATGTCCTCCAGCAGTCTAAGCCTATAGCAACATAACTATTCTAACCCGTCTACTAGGATGTCCTTCTCTTTATGCCCCCACTGCTGTTTATCACCTAACAGACTCTGTTTTTGATCACATCTCAGCTTCTGATGCTAAAGGTTCAGCTACACTTACTCTGAATATATTAGCATTCTTTTCTGAGATGTTGCTGCATTTGCTTAGAGATACTCAGCCTCTCTCCCTCTGGAATGATTTATTTAGCGGACATGACTCCGGTCGACTAGAGTTTGCTTGAAAAATAAACCAACGGGTAGGGTCTCTTATAGCAGACACATAAGTTTAATAAAACTGAAAGATAAATAATCTTATTGTACATGGATTTATGAGGTAAAACAGATTGGCACTCCCATCTGTTTGTGTTTTAACGTTAAAATATTTCTAATAAATTAATTGAAAATAAACGCGTTAAAGCTACAGTGTGTAATAATTACAGGGGTATACAGTCAGAAATGTAATATATTATACATAACTATGTTATTTATCATCATCTACGAGCTCAGCCTCTTAACCTTAATATTTGCGTTGCCTTAGAATTCGTTATTTATAATTACATAGGAGCGGGTCTCGCAGCCATGGAGGCAGACATCTTTGCGCTACGGCAGCGCAGAGCCAACAAACTAGCGATTGCGAGATCGCCCATTACGCTCGAAAGTAACTACGGCAAGTTGAGAGAGATGAACTGAGACGGTACTGAAATCTATACCCTACACAGACTAATGAAATACTATCTGTAAAATTATCTATGTAAACAAACCTCATCACTTGAGAAGGTAGGTGATGCGGACGTCGTGGAAGACATTTTGTCCCATAACACTCGCCGTACTAAGCGGTGGGGGGGGGGGGGTGTTCATGTTGCTGCGGTCTGCAGTCTGGACATTAGATGTCGCTGAAAATTACACACTGTAGCTTTAAGTCCAAAACCACAAAAATAGACAAAAGCTCGGACTATTCACAGTAACTCCTGCTAATTTTGTTTTGCAACCTTCTAAGGCAAGGCAGCGCTCTTTAAATAGAATTCAACTTTATTGCAATTGCATTGCTACAAGTACAAAGCAAATGTAAGGGTTAAGGGTCTTGCTCAGGGACCCAGAGTGGCATTCCATGTGAGTGGAGCTTGAACTGTGAACCTTTTAGGAGCCAAACACAATGGCCTAACCACTAGGCCACCACACTTTGCTGTAATAGCCAAATACATGCTTTTCGTTCCGCAAAAGTCGCCTAGCAACGCTCATGAGCCCCCCCTTTATATAGAGATAACTGATGTAAATCCTTCACTGCAGGCAATAAATGACATTTTGTGTGAAGGAACCTTAATTTTTTTTCTAAGAAGTTCAAAGAAAGTCCTAACCTTAAGGTATGTGAACCACTATTTTGCTGATTTGTTCTCGCAGGTACAATCACGACAGCTCAGAAACTACAGAAGACACCATTGAGTTGAGAGCAACAGATGGAACTAATTCAGTCAGTTTCGCTCTGCCCGTAAAGGTAATTTTCAAAATTGGGGAAGACCTACCTGTTAATATTGCTATTAGATGATCATCCATTTATGTGCCACTGAATAAGGAAATCGACATATTTGTTTACAGGTCATACCTATCAACGATGAGCTCCCGGTGATGGTTACTGGTTTGAACCCAGTTCTCAGGTGTCCGGAAGGAGAACAAATAGTAATCACTTCAGAGTACATCTTTGCCACTGATGTGGACAGCGATAACAGAAGCCTTGCCTTCCTGATTGCCCGGCTGCCCTACCATGGGGTGGTTCTGCGAAATGGTGTTATTGTAGATCGCTTCATCCAAGCAGACATTACTGCAGGAATCATTGCGTACAGACACACAGGTAAACCGGCAGTGTTTGGTAGTAGACTTGTAGACAATGTACTATTTTTCAGAATTGTAGAGTGCCATTTTCTCTTTTTGTACTTTGGAGCACAAGGGTAGGAAATAATGGCCGCCTTTTTCAATGGGGCTACATTGTTTCATGCAAAATGCAATGAAGAAGTAACAGTATTAAGAAGAACATCAATTTGTCAAAGGGAAGAGATCAGACTGCTTACCTCAGAATAACTTCTGCAAGACCAAGGAAATTCAAAGTGTAACTAATTATTTAAACCCTGTCACAGCATTTTCTAACGCTGGAACAAATATGTAAGTTTAGTTAGTTTAATCTAACAGGGTTATGATTATGTATGTCACACTTTATTTTCAGAATCAATGTCATGTGCCATGTGATTGAAAGTATGACTATCAATGAGGGTGGGTGCACAAATGTTTTGAGCACAGTTGTTTTTCTGCTTGTTTCAGGGCTGGAGATTGGATTAACTCCTCGACATGACACTATCACGTTTGTCATCTCTGATGGGGAAAATGAGACATCCGCTTTGTGCTGTGGCAGGGAAACTCCCACCAGAGGCAGAAGCAAGACTCCTCAGACACGGGACAGCTTGCCTGTCTACGACCTCCATATCACAGTGTTTCCTGTTGACAGTCAGCCACCCTCACTGGAAACAGGTGGGCTTAAGACAACATCTTTCTGCATGGGTTGTAGGTGCCCCCCAAAAACTAGATGCCATTTAGACATTGGTTTTTAGGCAAAATGTGGACGGACCATCATGGTCTTGATTTAGTCCAGAAATAGTTGTTGAAAATTGGGCTGTGTTTGGTCTGTCTCATTTTGTCCCACTCCAGTCCAATAATAGACAGTGAAAAGCCATAATTTTTTGATGATTTAAGATGTTGAGATCCCATTTTTAATGTCTTTAACATTTTTTTTTAAATTATGGCTTTTCACTTTTCAACCAAATTTAGACACTATCATTGGGGTGTAAATCAGATCACCTTTTCAATGTCCTTTCAACCATTTTTTGCACCGATTAAGTTGTGTCCTGCTGTCCTAATCGCCATCATCATGCAGGGGGCTAAGATATCTTGCCTGGTCAGCCAGGCCTACATTACTTCTAAAACCCACATTTACAGAGGCATAGACCAGTATCGGGTATTATAGGCTAACAAAGACCTCAACAAGTCCCCACTACTAAGGGGCGGACCTGTTCTCCGGTTCAAATTGCATGTTTTCTAAGCCAAAACAAGGCTTTGTTGGTGCACTCTATAAAGCTTGGAACTCAACACTAATTCTGACACTTTGAATTGAAAACGCTTCCAATTCCATTGGTCTGTTTTTTAACATTTTTGGAATGGCTATGAAACTGGATGACAGAGAATTTTCACCAGCAAATACCAAAAACAGAGTCCAGACACAAAACAAGCCACCAAAGTTGGGCAAGGACAAAAACATTCTCTGAACCCTTGAAAAACCGATCCATTCCGAGAACGGTCCGAGTTCTGACGCCCGTTTACACATCACGCTATCTCAGTTCCTCGACTCCTCGCCTCCTAGTGACGATCTGCGGTATTACTGCCAGTATTGAAGGAGGAAATCAAGCAGTTGGTGGCGGTAATGCACCAAAAGTTGTTTGCCAAACGCCATAAAACACAAGAAGAAGACGAAGAAGGAGGGAATCAAGCAATAAGCTAAATTCTTATTAATTTTAGTAGATTTTGTATGAATTGTTGTTTTGTTTGTGTTCCCAGGTGAGATCTTTAAGGTGGATGAAGGTGGGACGGCCCAGATAACTGCTGCCCATTTAAGGGCCTCTGACATGGATACAGTCCTAGACCAGCTTGTTGTTAGTTTGATCTCTCCTCCCCAGTTTGGCTACATAGAAAATGTCCTCCCCAGCCCTGGCTTTGAGAAAAGCAACACAGGCATAAGCATAGGTAAGCATTAGGATGTGTCGAGTTTAATGAAGTACAGTGGAAATAAGTAGTTTCATGTGTTTGGTGTTAACCCTCATTTCCCCAGCTTCTTTTCTATACAAGGACATCACCAAGGGTTATATTAACTATGTACAGTCCAGACACCTGGGGATTGAACCCACTGCTGACCAGTTCATGCTTTGTGTCTCGGATGGCAAGCGCAGCTCTGCTAACATCCCTTTCTACATTATAATTAACCCAACAAATGACGAAATTCCTGAATTTATGGTACAAAACATCACGGTAAGTTTACTGAATTTCTTTCCTATCCAAAACGTCTCAATAAACACCTTTACTTAGATATTTTTTCACTGAAACACATGTAAAATACATTGACTTGCTGGTTCATTTTCTTCCTGAGGTACAAGAAGGAGAAATGAAACACCTGGACACATCTGTGTTTCATGCGATGGACCTAGACATCCCCAAGAATACCCTGCTCTTCTCTGTGGTCAGACCTCCTCAGCATGGAAGCATCATCCATCACAGCGATGGAAACCCAATCATAAAGAGACAGGAGCCTGACCTATGGCCTTCTGTGGCTGCCTTTACTATGAAAGATGTCAAAAAGGGTACATTTTGCTAACCTGACTCCGCCAGATGCATTTGCTCCGCATATCCATTTGGAAACCTTCCATAGAAGTAATTTTGGGAAGGGGCAAAAATACTGGTTAGCTGATTGGCCTATGTTGGTGATAGACGGGCCAAATAAACAAATCAGATCAACGAAGCATATGACGTACTAACAGAGCGACAATGAAAACACAACCACAAGCCAGGCTACTCTTGCCGAAACCAGTCGGGAGAAGAGCAAAAACATCTTTTCCTCTGAGAAAAGCCTCCAGAGCAGTGTTTTGCTCTTCTTTCAATGAAGAAATACTCTGTAATTCCGATAAAACTTGCTCGATAGCCACGTTAATGCTAGTTTCATCGGCTGAAGCCGCCATGTTCTTTAGACTGAACGGTCGCGCTTCTCAACCCTCAACCCTCAATCCTCAACCCGCCCCAAAGCCAACGCTGATTGGACGTTCGTTTGGTGAACGGCTCCTAATTTTCTTCAATGGAGAGTCTCCAGACTGACTAGCGAGCGAAATCTTGAGAGCTCGTGAGATCAGGATGGTCTCACGAGGCTACTGTCTTGCGTCCTGTCCACCCCCAGCGATCATCTCAACATATCGTCCTGCCCATCAGGGTCCGTTGTCACTGCCCATTGGAGTGGTGTTTATTTCACTTTTACAACATTTTCTGTTTCAAATGGGAAGGCTGCCACTTTTTTAATAATTTAAGAATCATATACCTTTGGCAGGTAATCATCAAAGCAAAAACTAAGCAGTGTAAAGGTGTTTAAAGCTACCATGTAGTTCTTGGGCAGTTTGGAGATGATCAATAAGCAGAATTAATTAGGCCCGCTGTGGTTAGATGTTATAGCTGAACTTCTTTTTATTGTACGTTCTTAATTCTTCAACCACAAAACAGGCTTAAATCTGATAAAAAGGGACTTTCGCTTAGCTTTTTAAAGATGTTTCAGCATCTCTTCAGGAGTCTTTCTTAATTCTGTCAGTTCACAACAGAGCGATGTGAAGTTGGAGTGCTGATGTTTTAAAGAAACACGTAGGTTCATTTTTCTGCCCATTCTTTTGTTGTGCATGGCTTTTGTATCTTATCATGAAAAGCATGTTTATGTAACCTGTTTGGTGTGAGTTACAAGACTGAAACCACTTGAAAGCCGAAACCACAATCCTTCACTCCTGTTTAGTGATGGATTTTTCTCTTTTAGCAAAGATAGCTTTTTTCACCCATCTTTTAAACCATCTGTCCTCCCATTTCCAAAATGTAAATATTTTGTTTGTCATTACAATTTGAGGGCTGCATGATGGTGCAGTGGGTAAGACTGATGCCTTGCAGCAAGACTGTTCTGGGTTCAATTACTGGCCTGCAGTCCTTCTGCATGGAGTTTGTATGTTCTCCGCATCCATGCTTGGGTTCTCTCCGGGTACTCCGGCTTCCTCCCACAGTCCAAAAACATGACTGTTCAGTTAATTGGCTTCTCCACATTAGGTGTGAGTGTGCATGGTTGTGTGTCTTGCCCTGTTAAAGACTGGCGACCTGTCCAGGGTGTACTCCGCCTCTCACCCATAGACTGCTGGAGATGGTCACTGGCCCCAATGCGACCCTGAAAAAGGACTAAGCTGAAAGAAGTTGAATGGGTGGATTTCAGTTAAATCCAAATTAATCCAATTTAAAAATACTTCCTTAATGCCAAAGGGAAATTAAATAAATTGTGTGCCCTTTGGTCTTGAGCCACAAGTATAGAGCTAACTCTGGCACAGAGCGACTGGCTCTGCTTCGCTATGCAATGCATATGTGTAGTTGTTTAGTTTCTCTAATTTTTGCTTTGTTTTAGGTATTCTTTCTTTGTGGAAAAAAAGAAATTTTTTTTCTTCGGAGTTTCTTTTTGGGATTTGAAATTCACTGCTATGTTATATTTGCAATGAATTGGAAAAAGACTTAAAAAAAATTGAGCAAAAGTCCAGTTGCCTCTGATTCCAGCCTGTTTTAGGGTTTTATGTCCAGATGATGGACGATTTACACAGACTTGTTGGATGTTTCCATGACTCGGGTTTTGATCGTTTTCCCCATTTTCCATCAGGTTTGGATCTGATGTATCTCCATGATGACAGTGAAAACATGATGGACAGTTTTATCATTCAGTTGACTGATGGCAAACATCAGCTAGAGAGACGGGTGATGGTGGAAGTTCTACCAGTGAATGACGAAGAACCTCATCTTATCAGGTTTCGTGAACGTCTGGTTAACAATTTTTGTGAAAAGTCAGTTCTCATGCGACCTTTTAGAACAAAAGTGACCCCTGTGTTCTTCTTGTAGGAACAATGGGCTTGAGGTGAAACCGGGAGAAGCTAGGGTTATATCCAGCGTTACATTGTTTGCTGAGGACAAAGATACCCCCTCTACAGAAATCATGTACATTTTTGAGAGCGTTCCAACACAAGGAATACTACAACTACAGGTAAGAATAAACATTTCAAAGCTGGGTCCCCTGTTGTGGCCACATGCAATACTGTTGTCCTTTTGTTGCCTCAGTCCTTTAGGAAATATTACAGGCTAAATTCTGTTTAATCTTTTATCTCCCTTGTCAACCTCCAACTTCCATTCTACATGCACTTCTGGTAAGAAATCAACTTTTTATGTGTTTTAGGAAGGCCAGAATTGGGTGACACTTACAGCTGGGAGAAGGTGTACCCAGGACATGGTTGACATGAACCTTTTGCGTTATATACACACTGGCCATCATGCCACTAAAACACAGGACTTCTTTGTTTTCCACTTGATGGATGGAAAGAATCAGTCACCACCACAGCACTTCCAGATTTCTGTCAGAGATCTGGAAAAAGGTACTGGAATTTAGCATTAGATGTAGAATTACTTCTCTTCTCTTGTTATTGTTCTGGCTACCGGTACACATGAACAGCACTGTTATAAAAAGTCTTTACGAAACTAAGTCCTTGTAGAAAGCAATAATTACAGTATATGAATAAGATATATGGTGCCTTATTTGATAGCGTTTAAGCATATCACTACTTTAATTAACAGGGAAGTTCTAAACTTGATTTATGCTTGCCGCATTTGCAAGTTCCTCATGGCCACATTATGTTATTTTGGGCTTCAACACCCCTCCGCATGGACGCCCTAGGGTCAAAATGTAAGCTTGGAGAACCTAGGAAAATTTGTAAGTATGCGGAAGGGTCAACGCAGAAAACATGGATAGTGAGGAGTACTTCCTGCTGGTCAGGGTTTACGGTCCGTGGTCCCAAAGGGAAAATTGGCCATCAGTTGACTTTCGAAGGCTGAAGAAAGCTAGCCTGGGTGCCATTCCGAACTTAGTCCCGCCCACAACGTTTGAGGTCGGGAAGTTCGGTCTGGCATTGCTCAATAGTAGCGCGAGTATGCTCGCACAATATCTGGCAGGCCAATCAAATTGTCAGGGCGGCCTTATACGATGATGGACAGATGATCAACAGTAACGTAATCAACCACGTCACCAAAGCGCGCTTGGGTGACAACAACAATGGCTGCCGCTGGAGAGTTGAGGTGAGTAGATTCTGCTATTAGGTCTGTTCTAAAAGATATCGACAGCAAGTTAATTTTAAAAGAGGAACAGAGAAACGTGATCAAGGCTCATCTTCTTATTCTAGGCGTGCAACTGCACGCTTTGATTTTTGTTGACAACAACTTTGCTTCGCCTAACATACGTCACGCACTCCGTTGCTCTTATTGGTTGTAGGTTTATCCAATTGAGTGCAGAGGCATTTTTTTTCCTGGTTCGTTCGAAACACGCCCCATAATCACAGCTCTATGGAGCAGTATCAGACTCATATTCTGACTAGAATTGAGTAGGACTACGTCAGGCTAGAAGAAAGCATGAGACATGACAGAATTAGACCAAGTGTCCCCAGTTGGGGACTCGTGCTGACACTTTGGCACCCATGCATCCTTCACAAAAGTAAAATCAAACAGCAGTAGGGTCTTGTGGTAAATGAGGGGTGTAAAAGGCATGATGTGTGGCCATTTTGCCTCTACACCCATCCCCTTGGTTTGGTATCGAAATACAATGACTTCTGGCTGGTAACCTATCATTCTTAGGGATGCATTGGGTTGGTTATGAACAATTGGGACATTGCTGGACTCTGTTGGGATCTCTCCCTTGGTTCTTCTAAGTTTGTGAAACAATAGTGGACCCTGTTTTGGACATATGTGGCCTGCTTGAAAGGCTTCAAGACCCACGATTTGCTCCAGAAATCTTTCTCAGGTTGATGGTTGTACATTTTAAAACTTGTTTTAGGTCAGTTCTAGCATTAACTCTTAACGTAGGTGAGGATTTAGGAGGGAGATACTCCAGGACACCATGGCTTTCTTAGAATGATTTGATAACAACCAACAGCAAAGAAACATTAATTAATTAAGTTTTCTTTCCTTATACAGACAGACTTCTAATTGGAACCTCTATAACTTCCTACTTGTGCTTTCAGGAAACATTGCCATCTTTGTGAAGCCGGTAAATGTCAGCCGAGGAGACCGTGTGGTTCTTACCACCGATGTGCTGCTGGCCACAGATGACACAGACAAGCCAGAGGAGCTTCTATACGTTATCACCAGCCCACCTGCTCACGGACACATAGAGTACATCAAACATCCAGGGGTGATTATATCCACCTTCAGCCAAATGGACATAGCAGCAAACCTTGTTGCTTACGTCCACGACAACAGAGGAGAAAAGGCAACAGAAAAGTTTCAGTAAGTCTGAATACCTTTAAGTTTTAGCAACTTTCCATGACAAGTCAAAATACAAAAAGGGAACAAAATCTTTAACATTTAAGTTTTGTTTAAGCGGCATACACTATATGAGTTTTTGCAAGTTTCGGGCCGATTCTCCTTTTGTGCAAAAATGTTTTTGATCGGGCCCAGCTTCAGCCTCATCATGCTTCATGCTTCGAGTATTATACAGGGGGTAACGAGGGACAATTAGCCTCTCACAACCACCTCTTGATCAGGAATCGTAAGGTTGGGAGAAAATCAAACATGCTTGACATTCAATCGGCCCTTGTGAGGTGTTCTTAGACAAATTCAATTCAATTCAGTTTATTTCTATAGCGCCAATTCACAACACATGTCATCTCAAGGCACTTTACAGTTCACCAGATCATCCAGTCAAATTGATTAAAAGTTTTCTATCTAACGAAAACCAGTTGATTGCATCGACTCATTGACTCGAAGGCAATCCCTCACACTAAGCGTGCTTGTATCAACAGTGGAGAGGAAAAACTCGAAAAACGTTAGAGATTGAACTAACAGATTCTGCAGAATGATGAAAAGGGGTCTCTGTCTTAAATCCTGCTGTTGAACAGAACTACAAGCCAATTTACCCGAACCTTGCGTGCTGCTCAGAGTGCAGTTCTCCTTCTTCCTGAGTGACGAGTCCGACTAGCGCTTTCTCTAGGAGGTGAGTCCGAAATGTCGTTTTTGGACGTACAGTGTGAGCCAGTAGATCACATCCGAGCGTCAGGCCGCACAGTGTAGGAACATACATCGTGAGCTGTGAACTTTCAAACCCTGTGGTTGTGTCGTACAGGTTCAGCTATAGCTGAGTACAACAATTGAAAATATTATACAGGGTACGCCCGGTCAACAAAGAAAACTCACAAACACGATCCATCTTTAGCTTGTCGTCATCCTCATGAAGAAAAGAAGCGTCAACAAAATAATTTAATCATCACTGACTAAAATGACACTGCACAGACTACTCGTAACCTCCCGACTTAACTAGACAAAGTTTTGGTCCAGATCCTGTATGCTAATACCCGGTCTGTTGTGTGTTTTGACAGGTTTGTTGTAAGCAATGGTAAGACTAGTCGACATGGAAGCTTAGAGCTGCATGTGGAAATGGTGGATCGTGTTCTGCCATCACTGACGTCCAACAAAGGCCTCCAGGTCCCTCAGGGTTCCACCATGATCCTTGGCCCAGACTGTCTCTCTCTGTCGGATCCTGACACTCCACCTGGTGCCCTGACCTTTTCTCTCCACCAGCCTCCGCAGTATGGGACTCTTCTTTTAGCTGGTGTTACACTGACTGCTGGCTCAAACTTTTCGATGAAACACATCAAGGAGCTGGAGGTGACATACAGACATGACGGGGGACCGTCTCAGATCGACCGGTTTGCTTTCACGGCCTCTGACACATCCAGACGAGGTTTTTTGTTAGATGGAAAGCTGCAAACGGAGCCAGTGTTTTTCACCATTCAGGTGGGGAAAAGAAAAATATACAGGTTATGAGTTAAATTGATTTTAATTTGGTTTTGCTGCCATTTCCTTTCAGTGTGGGACTCCATAATGGAGAGCTATAATAAATATGATTTGGCACAAACATTTCTGGTTTATTTTCAGATCAAGCCTTTAGATAAATCTTCTCCAGAAGTAATGAAGCTACTCCCACTTTGGAAAGCAGAGCTTTTACCCGATGGCAGATATGGGATTTTCCTGACATCTCGAGAGCTTAAGGCTCAGGACAGAGACAGCAGAGAAGAAGAGCTCATATTTTGGATAGTTCGTTCACCTTATTTTGGCTACCTTGAAAACATTACCACAGGTCAGTATAACGATGTCATTCTATCCACCCTGCATGATGCTGGTCAGTTCACTACTTTGCCTTTTGGTTGTTATTTAATTTATGTAGGGTACCATTAAAAGGGTCAGCCTTGGGACCTTACAGTTCTAAGGGATTAATTCTGGTTAATTCAAATATTGATGTAAGTCAATAATTCGAGCACGCTTGTAGCGACAGTGGAGAGAAAAACTCATAAAACCTCCTGCAGAACCAGAACCAGGCTAAGCCTAAGCGGCCATCTGCTGAGGCTGACTGGGGTTCAAGGAGAATGAAGCAGACATAGAAAAAACAAGCTGAGATGCAAAAGGCAGCTATTAACAAGCTCCACAGGCGGCCCCCTCCGGGAAACACGCAGCCAGGCAGACAAGCTCCGAGCCAGCTCCCATGTCAGAGGATGAAGAGAGAACACACTGGAAAGATCTAAATCTAAATAAGTATTTTTTTTCTCAAAATAAGTGCATCTGTTTCAAAACTGAGAAGGCAAGTGAGAGACCTCGCCAATATGGAGGATAAAAAGTGCCAAAATTAAATAAATAAATACAGCATTAAATAAATCATTAAATGTGTCAATAATTAAATGTGAAATGTGAAAATAAATAAATGAGTCATTCATTAATTAAAACCACGTCACTAATATAAAGTGCAACAAATAAATAAATAAATACAGCGATAAACAATTAATTAAATGTGTAATTCATTAAATAAATAAGGAATTAAATATATAAATGTGTCATTAATTTAATAAAATATGTATTCATTTTATTAAAAATATATACATAATTATTTCAGTGTGCATTTAATTATTTCATGGTCCTGTGTCGCAGTGCATCGAAACCATTAAAAGAATCTGTCAAACTCACCCATCAAAGTTAGGGGGCGGTTATCTAACACCTGATTGGTCACCCTGCACATTAAGGCGAAGCAAATCGATTACAGAGACTCGATTTGCGTTAACCCAGCCCCCTAACTTTGAGTGACATGGTTTTAATTAATGAATGACACATTTATTTATTTAATTCCACATTTAATTAATTATTGACACATTTAATTATTGATTTAATGCTGTATTTATTTATTTAATTTTGGCACTTTTTATCCTCCATACACCAACGGAACAAGACAATTTACATTAAAAATAAGAAAAAAAAACAATTGCATTATCTAATTTCAAGTGCATATTATCTAATTATCTTATTTTAAGAGAAAGAAAATACTAATTCCAACTGCAAATACTCCCACCCACCTACTTAAATTAGGGATAAATACTAGGCCTGGGCAAAAAATCAACTCAATGAATTAATTCGAATTTGTTGTTGCGGGTGATAAAAAAAATAAAATAAAAAATAGCAACTCTGAAATTTTGCCTCCCCGGAGCTTCTGTTGCTGGAGTATTACTCCCACGGTGCAGATCGGCAAGTAACATCATGGCTATCGTAGACATAATATACCGAGACGCCTCATTTGAAGGCTGTTACAGCATAGCCTCGTGAGACCATCCTGATCTCGTGAACTTTCAAGATTTCACTCGCTAATTAGTCTGGAGACTCTCCGTTGAAGAAAATTTGGAGCCGTTCACCAAACAAACGTCCAATCAGCGTTGGCTTTTAGGCGGGTTGAGGTGTGACGCAACGAGAAGCGCGACAGTTCAGTCTGAAGAACATGGCGGCTTCAGCCGATGAAACTAGCGTTAGCGTGGCTATCGAGCAAGTTTTATCAGAATTACAGAGTATTTCTTCACTGAAAGAAGAGCAAAACACTGCTCTGGAGGCTTTTCTCAGAGGAAAAGATGTTTTTGCTCTTCTCCCGACTGGTTTTGGCAAGAGTAGCCTGGCTTGTGGTTGTGTTTTCGTCGTTGCTCTGTTAGTACGTCATATGCTTCGTTAACTGATTGGTTTATTTGGCCCGTCTATCACCAACATAGGCCAATCAGCTAACCAGTATTTTTGCCCCTTCCCAAAATTACTTTAACGGAAGGTTTCCAGATGGATATGCGGAGCAAATCCATCTGGCGCAGTCAGGTTAGTTGCAGCAGGGCTGAGGTGCTTAGAGGGCAGCCATCTTGGATCGGACCACAGTTAAGACAGCTGCTGTCAGAATGAATAGGAGGTACCTTAGATCTTATTTAAGTAACATGAGCCAGAGACAATATTACAATAATCTCTTACAAGTTACAACCCATTAAAAGACCAAAATAAACACATTATCTATGCATATATGCTCTTTAATAAGTTAATGTGTGTCATATATGTGTAGGCTAGACCAGGGGTAACCAGTAAAGGTCTAGAGACATTTTTTATTATGATCAATTATTTTTTAAAAAGCACTTAACATTGAAATTAAATGTTTATAAATCCATGTTATACATTGACTTTTTAATAAAAAAAATATAAAAAGTAGATTGTTTTTGAAGTAGAGAACAACAATCTTTCAGTTTGGTATGTAGACAATTTCCTGGCTCACTTTTTATACCTAACTCTCATCCTTAAATTCAAGTTCTCATATGAGACACAATGTGTTGTAAAATAGAGAAATGTAAAATAATTTAGAATTTCTCTTACTATTCATCTATCAGTATTTTATGATTATATTTATCGATCTACAGTGGTTGGACTACTGGGGTAGAACATTTTTGTTTTTATGAAATAAGTGTAGGAAGAGTTGAAGATGCTCTGAAACCTTGACACTTCATTCTACGAAAGAGCATTAGGGCCACTGGAAAAAAAAAAAAAGTTCACTGATTTTTAAATTTTATTTCAGCTTTACATGGGAAAAAAGTCAGAATTCTGACTTTTTTCTCAGAATTCTGACTTTTTTCTCAGAATTCTGACTTTCTCAGATTAAAGTCAGAATTCTGAGATTAAAGTCAGATTTCTGAGAAAAAAGTCAGAATTCTGAGATTAAAGTCAGAATTGTGAGAAAAAAAAGTCAGAATTCTGAATTTTTCCCATAATAAACTGAAATAAAATTTTAAAATCTGTTAACTTTTTTGTTTTTTTTTACTGGCCCTAATCCTCTTTCGTATCATTCAGATAAAAAAACAAAACGTTTTTCATTTCTCTTCACAGGCAGATTTGTGCCACAGCGCTTCTCGCAGTCTGAGCTCAGCAGAAGGACAATTGCTTATATCATCAGTCCAGATAGGGAGATTCTCTCAGACAGCCTGGAGTTCAAGGTGTCTGATCCTTTAGGTAACATGGGGCCCTCTCACATGTAAGAAATGTTCACTTTCACTCTAATTATTTATCCGATTTACTGAATTAGCCATTTGGTTTTCTTCATGCATGGTCCTTGTCTTTGCAGACTTCAATTCCAGTGGAGCAGAGTGGATTTTTCTCAGTCTGAGTCCTCCTCATGTGAGGAGCAGGGAAAAATTTCTCTGGACATCATTCGAAGTGGGAACCTAGTCGAGTCATCTTACGTCACTGTCAAGGTCTCCATCATGTGCTGATAAAACTCAGGGTCATGCAAAGGAAATTGCTGCAGTGCTAAAGCCATCATTTTTTTTCTTGTGTTTTCTTTTTTTCCAGGTGATTGAGGGCACCGCAACTGCAGAAAAAGACTTCCGTACGAGCCTCTCTTCGCTGATTCAGTTCGATCCAGGTATCAAAATCTTAGTGGCAAAAATGATTTTTTTTTTTGCAAAAGAGTAGCAAAGAAATGTTTTGTTTGATTAGAGGTTTATGCTGGTTGAATTTTAGAACTTCTAACTTTTGTCAAAGCTTTAAAACAAAAGTAGCATCAACAGAAATGTGTTGAATTAGCTGAATTGATCGATTTGAAGAGGGTCTGGTCTGCTAACATGACCCAGCTTTAGAATCAGGTCTTCTTCAGCCTCTAATAGGTTTTCAACCACAATCGTCTTGGCTTTAGCTCCATCGATCGTTTCTATCAACAGACCAGCTTCCTGCAGAATAAACCGACCTCTTAAGCCGGGCATTCACTGCACGATTTTTTAAAAAAGTTGTGTGCAGCTACAGCTCAGACTGTACAATGAAACTGTAGGGTTTATAAGTTCACATCTCACGATGTACGCTTTCACACTGTGCGGCCCGACGATCTACCTGCTCACACTGCACGTCTAAAAACCAAATGGGACTAAGAGACGGCGCTACTCGGACTTGTCTACCTGGAAGCCAAACAAGTAGAAGAGGAATATTAAGCTCACTAGAGTGAAACGCACTGCCTTGGCAATTTGTGCGATTTTGTGCTGAAAGCCCTAAAGAGAAAAGGCGACGACATATTTGGACAAAGACATGGCTGAGCAAACATGGCTACTACGGTCTGCCAATTTTCCAGAAAGAACTCCATTTCACTCGCACCATGCCAGGTCCCTGTGTTTTTCGTCAGAGAGGAAGAAGGATCCTTATTTTACGCGCAATGAGCACTGAGCATTTGCTGACGACGAACAACTAAATTTAAAATATGTTGGATTTTCTCCTGACCCTATGATTTCAGATCGGGAGATGGTCATGAGAGGCTGATCGCAATATCCAGGGTTTAGAAGGAAAACTAGAAATGACAGTCCAGTGTTGTCAACTAAGCAACTTTGTGCTATATTTAAGGATTTTTCTGCCGCTTCTATTGTAGCAACTTTTCTGTTCCAAGTGATTTCAAGACACAAATCTGTGGACTTTTCTCAGTGTTTTTGGCAAATTAAGTGACTTCAAGTGAAAGTAGAAATCATTGTTTCAGAACAGCAGCGAGAGCCGCTGTGATTCTCTACTAAGCGCTTCCCTAAGCGCTGTGTCACAGGTATAGACTTCTATCTTATAAAATACTTAACTTCCTAAACTTTATACAACACTTTTCTTAAGTATTTAACATTCTCATTAGGAGATAACATTCAATCATTTGCAAAATTGAACAGCAAAGACAGTAAAGGCTAAGAACAGAATGCCCAGTATTCAAGGCAGACAGTCGGATATTTCAAAAATCGTTTATTTAAAAATGATGGATCTGCAGTAGCAGGAAGGACATCTAAGGCAGGAACCTCTGCAGGAGGAGAATGCAGGTTAGTGATCATGTTGATCTGACGGAGGATGATAATGAACATGAGAGTCACTAACCTGGTCTTATAGCTCAGTCCGTGCCCAGAGGATGAGGTTGATTCCAGCCCATAGGCTGCCAACAATATGCGAAGGGATGGGTCCAGTGAGTCCCAGAAGCTGCTCCCGAGGTCAGGACAGGCAGGAGATCAGATGATGATTGCAGGTCAGGAAAACAGATCAGAACAGGGACAGGAAGGCTCAGAAGTCCAAAGACAGAATGGGTCAGGATCAGGTAATCAGTAACACTAAGGTATGAGAGAGAGACTCTCACCAAATGCTCAACAATAATCCAGCACTGATGACTTGTTACAGGGCTGGTTAAATAGAAGCTGGAGCAGGTGGATCAGATGAACAGTAATGAGAAACTGGGCGGAGCTAGGCAGGTGAAGGACAAAAACATAGATAATGAAAGTATTCTTTAAAAGCAACTTCTAATATACAACCTTGGTTCCGTAGATTTTTCTTTTACTGAATCCAGTTGCAGCACAAAGTAGTGGAAAAATATACCAAGTTTAGGGCTCAGAAAACCACATTCATTCAACAGAAGTCTGAGTTTTTTATTTTCATGGTTACCTCAAAGTAAAATTCCTTTTTTTTTTTTGCTTGGAATCATGGTGGCATTAAATGTTGCTACTTTTTACAATCACAACAGAGTCACAGCAAATTAATCAGATCAGTCGTGTAGCGTATCCTGGGAGAACAATTGCATTTCTGTTGGCCCACTCTTTTTTGAATCCCCCATTTTTATATTCAACCCTCCTGAGTTTTTGAACAAGTAATCATAAATGTTGTCTGAAACCGATCGGTTCCGAGTTCAGACCGAGCTTGGATCAGTTAACCTTGCCAAGCTTGGTTCTTACGACCATTTAAACTTCATGCTAGTGCATTTTCTCGCCTCCTATCGGTGACCCACAATACTACAGGTCTCAAGGCGGGAATTATGCAAACAAAAATGGTGGTGCCCACAACATCCAGGATATTATTTCTTTTATATTAGTGATATTTCATTATTTGCGGCATGTCAGGTGAAGAAGGTATCCCTCGTGGTCTTGGTATCATCTCAGTTCACACCATGCTATTTTGATGACATTTATTGTTAATAAGCTGAGCAGAAGTTCGTGTTGTGAACAGGTGAAGAGACATTTGAATTGCAAAACCTGAAAACCCACAAAATGAGCCAGCTGGCTGTAAATAGGAGATGATGCGGTCTGCCGATGCATTCGTTATCAGAGAACCGAGCCACAGATGAATGGTGCCTAGCCCTACTGTTGAACTAGTACTAGATTTAGCCGGGTTGGTTTGTGTCTGGCATGGTCCAGTTCAGTTGCATTCGATTTACACTCAATAGTTATCTGGGTTACCATGCTCAGACGGTTCTCGGAATGGTTTCAAAAGGGTAGTGTAAATGGCTAGCTTCTGTCTCACCCACTTCCAGTGCGAACAAACAGTAGGTTTAACATGATTGGAACTGGTTGTGGAGAACCTCTAGAGAGCCACAGCTGGGCTGTCAAAGCTGTGCCTGATAAAAATTCTCATTTGAGTGAACCCACCAAGAATCATTTTACCACATAAAATGTTCAGAAGTCCAGGTAAAGGCATCTTGGAGTCCGGACCTGAACCATAGTTCACCAGCTGGTGAGCCCTGAGCAAATGTGTGATGTATGCACAAAGGTATTCCAAAGGTTTCCGCCTTGGACTGCAAAGCAGAATAAAAACAAGATATATAGTTTTCTATCTAGCCTCTTTTTTACTCTTTGAAACAACCACTTATTTACCTCATAATGCTAATGATCACCAGCTTTTTGGTAAAATTACATTTAGCGTGAATTCAGGCAATACAAAAAGATAACCCTGCATAATGTTTTTCAACCAGTGGATTTGAACTGAAAACCTGCAGATTACGTCACAGTAGGGTGGAGGCTTGAAGGATGACCCACATGCAGAGACTGAAGCTAAAGGTTGTTTCTTGCAGATCTAATAACAAAAAAGGGTAACGGAAACGAAAATTCAAAAATACTGAAAACCAGGAAATACTCACAACATGGGGGCAAAGAATGACAACAAACCAGCCACAGTGATTGGGCAAGAGGTGCATATATGGGAGAGAGAAACAAAGACCAGGCTAATTAGCAGATTGGGAGCAGGTGTGAACAGAATAGTCTAGAAGGGAGCTAGGAGAAGGAGACTGACACAAGAGGGCAAGAGAGGGCTAACAAGAAATATCTAAGAACTCAGATACAATCAAAAATAACTAGAATAATACAAAATGGAAATAAAAACAATGAAAACTCAAAAATAAAACTTTAACAGAACCAAAACAATGACAAAGTGTTTGTTAGCGTTAAGAGGTGTCGCTTGCCCCAAACACCTGGATCAAAGAGCTAAATAACCTCCTTAGCAGCAGTCAAGCTCGTATTGGTTAGGTGTGGTGGAAGCAAATAAGCATCTTAACCCTTACCCTAGGACACTTAGTGAAATACTTGGAACAAGAAACGCCCACTTGCCCTAATATATAAAAAGAAAAAAATATTATAAGCTTTTTTATGACATTTTAGCAAAATGATTGAATAGTTGTATTAACCATACATGTAAAAAGAGTTTTACAGAATTTTATGGGAACCTTAGAAACTTAGGGCCCTAGGCAATTGACTAGTATTGCCTAATGGTAAATCCCTAGCCTGACGTAGTCCTACTTAATTCTAGCCAGAATATGAGTCTGATGCTGCTCCATAGAGCTGTGATTATGGGGCGTGTTTTGAACGAACCAGGAAAATAAATGCCTCTGCACTCAATTGGATAGACCTACAACCAATAAGAGCAACGGAGTGCGTGACGTATGTTACGCGACGCATAGTTGTTGTCAACAAAAATCAAAGCGTGCAATTGCACGCCTATAATAAGAAGATGAGCCTTGATCGCGTTTCTCTGTTCCTCTTTAAAATTAATTTGCTGTTGATATCTTCTAGAACAGACCTAATAGCAGAATCCACACACCTCAACTCTCCAGCGGCAGCCATTGTTGTTGTCACCCAAGCGTGGTTTGGTGACGTGGTTGATTACGTTACTGTTGATCATCTGTCCATCATCGTATAAAGCCCGCCCTTTGATTGGCCCTCCAGATATTGGGCGAGCATACTTGCGCTACTATTCAGCAGTGCCAGGCCGAACTTCCCGACCTCAAACGTTGTGGGCGGGACTAAGTTCGGAATGGCACCCAGGCTAGTAAATCCCCCCCTGCTTCCAGACCTCACTGACGGATCGGGGGGACTCCATTTGTAACAGGTATGCAAGTGATCAGTAAATTGCCCTAAAAAGGGTTTTGTGATACGTTCACACTGAAGATGAACGGGGCAAATTTTGGGTGCTTTCATGCCTTTTTAATGGCCTTTGTGGTTTTAATTTACAAACAATTTAAAGTTTATTCTCACTGTAGGAGTAACAAAGCGGACTTGGCAGACTGATATCGTTGAGGACCACATTGAGGAGGCAGATGAACATTTCGAGGTGCTGCTTGTTTCTCCTGAAGCTACGGTCATTGGTAGCATCAGCAAGGCTAAACTTACAATCAGAGACCCGGGAAAAGGTAAAAGATTCTTAGTGTATTTTAAACAGCGTTTTTCTTCATATAAAAAACTAAAATTGGACTAACCTATTTGAAATTGATGAACTCAGGAGAGTGCAGACCAAAGCAGGACCAACAAGCTCCTCTTCTGGGAGGAAAAGAGATTCAACCCGACACGTATCCCCAGCATGGGTCCATCCGTTTGGAGAAACTTCCCCTCAGTAAAGAATCGGTTATATGGCCCAGAGGAGACAGCATCTCTACCCAAGGAGAACATCTCCAGAGGAAGAAACTCAGAGTTGTCAACAATCCCAAATCTGTAAGCCTTTCTGCCATTTTAGTTTATCCTCCACCCTATCCCTTGTTCCTCTGTATCACCGGTGTGTGGTATAAACAGGTTTGTGTTTATTTTTCAGATTTCCCCTTCAACAGTGTTCCACAATGGGACAGATGTAGTTTACACAGTAAGTATCCACAACATTGATTTCAAGCTTTACATCAACGAAGGCTGAAGAACAATCTAGTTTCTTTGCTGATTTGATGTATGATTCCATGTAGTATCATGGAATCATGCAAATGCGAGTAGAGGATGATGCATCATCTAGGATGAGCAGGAGGGCAAACATCCGAGTGGTTAGCAGGGGTTCACAGCCACAGCGACCTGGACTTACTACTGACGCCGACTCTCCAAGAGAAGGAAGGATTCAAGTTAAGATGGGACAAGCTCGAGGAAATGTAAGTAAAAAATTGTGCTAACCAGTGGTGGAGAGAGATGTCATGAACTGTGTGAAGATTCCCTCTCTGTTGCGTCTCTTGCCTCTGTTAGTGTTTTATTTAAGACATGTTGACCCTGTCAGCTTTGCTTTTACTTTAATGTCAGACAACGACTGTGTCTGGTTTCAGCTCTCCATCACTAAATAGAGGCGGGAAATATAGTGGACTTTATAGCAAACTTTTCGCTCCCCCTTGGTTACGTAACTCCCCTTCCCCGCACGGTGCCTGTGACCATCTATGTTATTAGTCGCCGCTACAACAAAACCCATGGTGCCTTGCAAGGAAAGCAGTCACAAAGCAATCTTGGATAGATCTGCTTGTATAGTCACCATGGATGCGTTTGATTTCAGAGCCCGCGTCATCCAAGGACCCGGTTTAACTGGACTTTTCAAGGGCCATGAAAATAAGGAGGCATGGAAAAGTTTTGGCTATAGATTCAACAAGGTCCGCCCTTCTTCGGCTTTCACTGACTGTCTGTCTCCTAGTAATAGTCATAGTTGATACACAAAGCAGGCAAAGAATAGATACTAAACTTCTCACTAATGTTCTCAGTGCTAATAACGTTTTCCAGGAGCTTCAGCAGCAGTACCGTCGTCTCAGACACAGATTTAATGTCTCCAAACCGCAGAGATATTGGAATCTGTGCTTAAATGTCAGCCAAACCCATTTGCACAGGGACAGATAAAACCTTTCAGTAAACCAAACATTATCCGCCACATATCTGACTCACTATTTAAAACAACTATTTTCATTAATTTCAAATGGAACTATTGACATACTTGTATAAACTGCACTTCCAATATTAAACACTGTTTTGCACCATTTCCCTCTTTCCTCTGAGCATGGAGTAGCTGGCTTGCTTGGACTAGCAATGAAGCCTGGGATAGCCAAAGCTACGTAGGATACAGCGGACCTGTCCTTCAAAACGGGCAAAAAGGAGGCAGCATTTGTCGGTTGCATAAAGAGGAGACTTCCGATCCAAACAAGCCTCGGTGCCGCGTTATAACGCTATCGGCCAATGAATCTGGCCTTCGGAGGATGCAGCTGCTGAATTCAAACTCATGGATGATCACTACTTTTCAAAGTGCATTGTGGGAAATTTCGAGTCCACTACTTTTTCATCTACTAGACATTCAGACACTCATCTAAAATGGCATAACCACTATATAGAGCCCCATATAGGGATTAGGACGTACGTTCGGACACAGCCAACGTATTTGAGAGTGATTAATAGGAGTCTAGCATCTTTATTGAGACTCTTGCAAGAGAAAGTTCAAATTTATTTTACGTCCTTTGATAGAGAGATAGAGCTCTGACTGGGGCAAACCAAGAACACACATTTATACCTTACAAAATCCCTCCAGCTCTCTCTCTCCTATGGAACCACCCCACCCCTGCATAAAGAACTTCCTCACACATGAACATTTGGAGAAAAAACAACTTCAGTTCATCAAGGATATACATTTTTCATTAGCCAGACAAACACTCAGAACAGGTCTTCGTTCACGGCATCAAGGAGGATGAAGAAAATTTCAACACTTATCTTTTATCACTCCTTACCTTCCTTTCAACCCAACAAGGCTGAGGGAAAATATACTTTCACTTTGGTTTATGCGTTTGATTTTCTATGGAGCTGAATATGGCTCATGGATTCTGAATACTTGAATTTATAGATTTAAATATATACATATACACTCACCGGCCACTTTATTAGGTACCCCATGCTAGTAACATGTTGGACCCCCTTTTGCCTTCAGAACTGCCTCAATTCTTCGTGGCATAGATTCAACAAGGTGCTGGAAGCATTCCTCAGGGAGTTTCGTCCATATTGACATGATGGCATCACACAGTTGCCGCAGATTTGTCGGCTGCACATCCATGATGCGAATCTCCCGTTCCACAAAACATCCCAAAGATGCTCTATTGGATTAAGATCTGGTGACTGTGGAGGCCATTTGAGTACAGTGAACTCATTGTCATGTTCAAGAAACCAATCTGAGATGATTCCAGCTTTATGACATGGCGCATTATCCTGCTGAAAGTAGTCATCGTAAGATGGGTACATTGTGGTCATAAAGGGATGGACATGGTCAGCAACAATACTCAGGTAGGCTGTGGCGTTGCAATGATGCTCAATTGGTACCAAGGGGCCCAAAGAGTGTCAAGAAAATATTCCCCACACCATGACACCACCACCACCAGCCTGAACCGTTGATATAAGGCAGGATGGATCCATGCTTTCATGTTGTAGACGCCATATTCTGACCCTACCATCCGAATGTCGCAGCAGAAATCGAGACTCATCAGACCAGGCAACGTTTTTCCAATCTTCTATTGTCCAATTTCGATGAGCTTGTGCAAATTGTAGCCTCAGTTTCCTGTTCTTAGCTGAAAGGAGTGGCACCCGGTGTGGTCTTCTGCTGCTGTAGCCCATCTGCCTCAAAGTTCGACGTACTGTGCGTTCAGAGATGCTCTTCTGCCCACCTTGGTTGTAACGGGTGGTTATTTGAGTCACTGTTGCCCTTCTATCAGCTCCAACCAGTCTGGCCATTCTCCTCTGACCTCTGGCATCAACAAGGCATATCCGCCCACAGAACTGCTGCTCACTGGATGTTTTTTCTTTTTCGGACCATTTTCTGTAAACCCTAGAGATGGTTGTGCGTGAAAATCCCAGTAGATCAGCAGTTTCTGAAATACTCAGACCAGCCCTTCTGGCACCGACAATCATCCCAATTTCAAAGTCACTCAAATCAGCTTTCTTCCCCATACTGATGCTCGGTTTGAACTGCAGGAGATTGTCTTGACCATGTCTACATGCCTAAATGCACTGAGTTGGCGCCTTGTGATCGGCTGCTTAGAAATTAAGTGTTAACGAGCAGTTGGACAGCTGTACCTAATAAAGTGGCCGGTGAGTGTAGCCCCCATAGGCTTTCTTAGAGGCCCAGAGGAAGAGTTTTCTATTTAGAGGAGTTTCAGGAATTCAGTAAAAGATTGCACAACGTCAAACTCTTAAAAAAGAAATGTTAATAATGCTATTCTTTCTTCAAAAGATTTTTGGACTTTTATGCGCGTTTAGTTGAGTTGATCTGTCCTCAAACATCGACTGCACTAATGAGACTTATTCAGCAACAGTTGATGGATATTCCTATTGAACAAAAAGGTCAATAGGCTAAATATTTTTATGGAAGCCCATTTCCGCCACTTGAAAGTAAAAAAAAAATGACCTATGGTATGTCATGTATATTTTGTTATAATTATGACATTTAAAATCGTAATTTGGACTGTTTGTGGAGGTGATGACCCCAATAAATAAATGGAACATTATTGATCTCACATTGGAGAAATTTATCTCTGCATTTAACCCATCCCCTTGGGGAGCAGTGGGCTGTCATTGTGCGGCACCCAGGGAGCAGTGTGGGGTTAAGGGTCTTGCTCAGGGAGCCAAATTGGCAGTCTGGGGGAGTGGGGGATCGAACACCCAATATCAGGATTGAAAGCCCTATGCCCTAACCAGTAGACCGCCACTCCCCGAAATGACTGAGACCCTGCATCGTCATCATATGTCGGGACTTTTTTACAGGAAAGTCTGGTCCAGTTGATGAAATTCCATTATAAAATAGTTTTTTGTAAGCATTAACTTTACCTTAAGATAATCTGCTACTGTTTTTCTTCCTGCCCTGATTTTCCATCTAACTGGTGGTTCTCCAGTATTTTAAGCAGACATCAGAGATTACTATACTTGCTTTTTTTACTCATAGGCATCCACCATCATCTCTGTAGCCAAGGCATGCGTGCCGGAGCTGATGGGACTCCTGCATTTCAACCAGTCCACCAATCAACTTCTTCATTGCAATGGCGTCTCCTGGAAACCCTGGGCACCAACTGACCAGGTATTAACCCATTAATATTCATATTAACTATGGGCCTTTTAATGATGGATTTTAAACAATCTAAGTTGGGATGTTGTTTTTCAGGTATGTGCTACAATTATGAAAATGAGCTTAAAAGAAAAAAAAACCAAAACAACTATTTCTATTCTTAAAATGTATGGAGTAGAAAGCAGAAATATTTGAAAAAAAAGGTAAATGCCTGTTACAACTCCAGTCCTGTTTATCCCAAACAGCTGGACTTAATACCCCCAAAACAAACATTTCTAAGGAGTATTCATTTCAATTCAATTCAGTTTATTTCTATAGCGCCAATTCACATAATGCCATCTCAAGACACTTTCCAGTTCACCAGATCATCCAGTCAGATTGATTCAAAATTTTCTATCAAAGGAAAACTGGTTGATTGCGTTGACTCTTTGACTTGAAGGCAATCCCTCACAGTAAGCATTCATTTAGGGACAATGGAGAGGAAAAACTCCCTTTTAACAGGAAGAAACCTCCAGCAGAACCAGGCTCAGTGTGAGCGGCCATCTGCTGAGGCCCACTGGGGTTAAAGGAGACAGAAGCAGACATAGAAAAAGAAGCATAGATACAAAAGACAACTTTAAAAGGCGGCCCCGTCCAGGAAACACACAGCCAATCAGACGAACTCCGAGCCAGCTCCTATGTCAGAGGATGAAGAGAGCACATCCAGTTAGTCACAGTCAGAGAAACAGGACTACACTGGAAAACAGGCTGATCTCCAACATCTAGAAACAAAGGTGTTGATGGCAGCAGCACAGCTGATATTTCTCTCCAGGATGGAGTCACAACCAAACAGGAACAGACCGGATGAAGCTACTATGAGAAAAAGCAGAGAGAGCAGAACGTTAGAGATTGAACTAATAGATTCTGCAGAGTGGGAGAATAGAGATAGAATGAAGCAGAATGATGAAAAAGGGGTCCCTATGTCCTCCAGCAGTCTAAGCCTATAGCAGCAGAACTATAGAGATAGCCCAGGTTATCCTCACTATCATAACTATGATCTTCATCAAAAAGGAAAGTTTTAAACTTCACAAACTAAAACTGGTAGTTGGTTCCACAGTTGGTTCCCATTATACTTTCAGAAATTCTAGGAACCACTAGTAATCCTGCAGATTGAAAGCAAAGTGCTCTGTTAGCAACATAAAGATTTATCATTTTCTAGTGAAAAGATTGGCGAGAATGGTAGAAAAAGCTTTTTCATGTTCATGAGAAGTGTGTGGTTTCTTTGCAACATTTCACAGAGAATGCATCTTCGTATTTGTGAGTATGACTTAGAGCTTATTTTTGGTATATTTTTGGTTGAAATACACAGATGTATGTTAGTACCAATTTTCAAAGGAATCATGGGAAGGCTGGCTAGTCTAAAAGTAGTTGAACTTATATGCTTATGTGTCCATGTTTCTACAGCTGGTTGGTGCCAGGATGTGTCCTCAGGGATGGACTTTTCAAGGAGGACGTTGTTTTATTCTCAGCACTGAGCACAAGCTGACATGGAGTGCAGCAAACAGGGCCTGCAGAGAAAGGTATCGTTAAACATCCTTCTTTGTGCAAATTACTCGCACATATTTCATTGGATTGGCTCTAAATGAACTCTTTTATTTATTTATTTTTCTGCAATTCACCTTTAACTTTTTTTCAATACCAGGTTTAAAGGAAATCTTGCAAGCGTTTTGTCTAAAGCTGACATGAACTGGTTGTGGGACTTCAGTGGAAGAAAGCCTTTCTGGATAGGTCAGTATCTGGTGGGGTAACATTAAGAATTATGTATTTTACCTAAAAAATTAACTTGAAAATGTTTTTTTTTTTGGATAAAACCCCAGAAATGCACTTACATCCTTGTTCCAAGTAGAAATGTGCAAACTCTGCCACACATATGTATCATTTCTCTGATAAAGAGGGTCGGACTGGGAACGATTTTCTGCATTTTTGCCATCTACACTGGTCCGCTTATTGACCACCTCAGAAAAAATAAAATAGAAGCACAGTCAAACACGTGCGTCTCAAATGTGAAAAACAACACATAAAACAACATAAAACCAGAGGTGGAAAAAGTACTAAAATTTCATACTCAAGTAAAAGTACCAATACTTGGATGAAATATTACTCAAGTACAAGTAAAATTACACATCAGAAAAATTACTCAAGTAAAAGTAATAAGTAGCTAATTTAAAATGTATTTTAAGTAAAAGTTACTTAGTTACTTCGCCAAGATAGTGCTGCGGGAAACACTGACTTAAATGAAATACTTAGTTTTTTTTTTTAGCAATTTATTTTCCCAAGCCACTCAGAGCCGCAGTATAAGGATGAAAGAGTTCCGTAAAAATTCAAAAAATATCCACTGGACTTGGTTTCCAAGATTTGAAGACGTTTCGCCACCTCATTTCAAATTGGGAAATCTTCCTGGAGAGGTGGCGAAACGTCTTCAAATCTTGGAAACCAAGTCCAGTGGATATTTTTCGAATTTTTACGGAATGACTATGACCTGGATGACTGAAAACCTTCATCAGCAAGGATGAAAGAGCCGCATGCGGCTCCGGAGCCGCGGGTTGCCGACCCCTGTGCTAGACAAAATTAGCAATGGCACGAAACAGGTTGTTTTGCTAATTGGCTATTACTCACGAAAACTTCGAAACTTTGTTTGAAGTACCAATGCACTGAATACTTACCAAAACATGCTTCCGCAGATTAAATGTGGAGTTATTGAATGCTGCCAGTTCAGTCACCTTTGGCAGACACATCTGGCATTCCTAATATTCCGGTTAACTAGAGTTAACCGGAATATTAGGCACCAGTGTTGTGTGTGAACGGCGTTCAATGAACACAGTCATATTTTTAGTGAAAGGTAAACTAAATGGATAAGTTTTGAAGTAATGAACGTGAACGAAAGTAACGTTCACTTTGAGATTAATGAGCGACACACAGAGCTCATGTTCGCGTTCAATTGATATAGACACATTTCATTGGATAACGTCAGGTTTTATGGCACTTATTACAGCCTGACAGAGCAGCATGTCTGCTAGGGGTGGAACGGTTCACAAAATCCACGGTTTTCGGTTCGGTATATGTTGATTGTTAGCATGACATGTTGGTCATGTTGCTGTTAGCATAAACAAAACGTGTTGCTTGCACACTGTTGCACTTTTATCCACAGCTTTCTTTCCACCGTCATCGTAGGTCACTCTAAATGCAAAGTGGTCCCATACAGCAGACCTATAAAGTGCTGCTGGCGCGTCTTCCAACTCCTGTTCTTTCCCACTCACCATTCCGACACAATTCTCCGTAACAACATATTTTTTTCTGCTAAACCCGGCTACGCTGCTTCGCTTCTTCTTGTTTACTACTGGTGGTTGGCTTTGGTCGCAGTACCACCACCTTCTGCTCTGGAGTGTAAACGCTTCGCCTATGAGAAAAAGGAGCAGCGCATGAACCGAACGAAACACACGCGAACCGAACCGAGACAGTCGAACCGAACGGTTCGGACGGTTTTCATAAACCTTTCCATCCCTAATGTCTACTGCTAGTACCAGTCTGCTCCACTCAGACTCTGCTGGGATTTCTGATGCCAGTTTAGCAGAGCGTTTGGCAGAGTTTGATCAACTAACAAATGAAGACTGGGACAGAAAAAAAAATGATGTTGTTTTTGCACTGAGGCTTACCAAATAAGTCCATAAGTCAGCGACGTCCACTTCAATTTATTTTCTCATTTCTTTTTCAGAATTTGTGTTTAGACTTAGACAACTTTTATTATCATGCCATTTCCATTCCATAAAGTGCAGCAGTGATCAATGTAAACAGTGTGGGAGAAAAAAATGGTGCAAAAACGCATTGATATGGACATTCAGAGCATTTCAGGACAAATTTTGGTGCAAATATGCAGAATTTTGGTTTGGTGTTGTCAGTGTTATGCAGAGTCTGTAACTTGATTTAGAGTTTTTCAGCAGTTCAACAGTCAAACGTTTAATGTTTGCAACAATAATGGAGGAAAATTCACTCCATAGTTACAAGCTCAGAATCTATAAGTGGCACCGCAACATTAGACACCTAAAGGGATTTTCAGTCTGCTAAACTGATTTTTCTTGTTTTGATGTCATAAACATTTATGTGTAAATAAAAAAATGTATTCAATCATCTATCATCAGGTCTGAGCAACGGAAAGGGTGGAGGACTGTGGGAGTGGGCGGGCGGCGAACCCGTCAGCTACACGAACTGGAAAAAGGCGCCTCCCCGCTCGAGAATGAAAGGCAACCGGAAGTGTGTGCTGGTGTGGAGAAGAGCCAAGTGGCAAATCAGAGATTGCAAGAGCGGCAAAGGCCATCGCTTTGTTTGCTCAGTGAAACTCTAAGAACGAGGTTTGGAGGCGTTGCAGGGATGCATGACGAAGGACGGATGCTCAGGACAAGACTACTCGCTAAAAACCACTGGGATAAAAAACAAAAAACTTTATATTTAATTGTGAAAATGCCACACAGAGCAACTTTATTACACTTTATTACACAGTGAAAGTATTTTTTTAAAGTATTTTTTACACGAATGGCAGCCTAGTGGTTAGGGCATAAAACTTGGATTCCTGAGGTTTTGATTCGAGCCCCACAGACTGCCGCTCTGCTCCCCAGGCACCGTACAATGGCAGCCCACTGCTCCCCAAGGGGATGGGTTAAATGCAGAGGTAAATTTCTCAATTGTGAGATCAATAAAGTTCAATTATTATTATATTTTTTATTATGTATTAGTTAATTTTTATTGGAGTGAAAACGGTCAAATCTGTACAGAACTTGAATGGAAAGTAGAGAAGAGATGACAGACCGTATGATCTGTAAACATTCTTATATTTAGAAACACTACTTGTTTTTGGGGATTACAATGTCATCATTTGGACTGCATTAAAGAAGAATATGGAAGAAGGTGAAGAAGAAGCTTCTGCTGCTAAAAGCCTCACTGCCAGTTACTGTTTATTAAACCATCTGTATTAATATTGGTGCAAGAAAAGAGGTGTATTCTAAAAGACATCACTACTGAGTGGGAAATTAATGATACTCAGCAAAAAATTCAGCTCACTTATTGTTCAGGTCACATTTTTATGATGCGTAAATAAAAATAATTTTGTTATATTATAATCTCTGGGAGAATCATTAGAATTAAACCTTTTTTTAATTAAAATTTAATTCAATTAAATTCAATTCAGTTTATTTATATAGCGCCAAATTCACAACACATGTCATCTCAAGGCACTTTACAGTTCAACCAGATCATACAGTCCAATTGATACAAAGTTTTCTGTCTAAGGAAAACCAGTTGATTGCATCGACTCATTGACTCAAATACAATCCCTCACACTAAGCATGCTTGTAGCGACAGTGGAGAGGAAAAACTCCCTTTTAACAGGAAGAAACCTCCAGCAGAACCAGGCTCAGTGTGAGCGGCCATCTGCCGAGGCCGACTGGGGTTCTAGGAGACGGAAGCAGAGACACAAAAAGCAGCTGGAAAAGGCGGCCCCGTCCAGGAAACACACAGCCAGGCAGACGAGCTCCAAGGCAGCTCCCATTCCAGAGGACGAAGAGAGCACATCCACTCAGTCACGGTCAGAGAAACAGGACCACACTGGAAAACAGGCCGATCTCCAACATCTAATCCTGTGTAAATATGTTATATATATGTTTTACTTTGAATTCACCAGCACAGAATTAGCTTTTGAAAATTCACTAATAAAGTAATTTACCTGCAGAAATCTGCATACAAAAGTGGAGATCCAGACGGTTATATGACTGTTTCCTTGCAGCAGGAAGATCCAGAGTTTGATTCTTTCTGCATGGAGTTTGCATGTTCTCCCTGTGCATGCGTGGGTTCTCTCCGGGTACTCCAGTTTCTTCCCACAGTCCAAAAACAACACTGTTAGGTTACTTGGGGTCCGTTTCACGAAGCAGGTTTAACAAAGTCAGATTCAAAACCCTCAACTCTGAATGAATCTGGCCTAAAGTCAGGAACTCTGAGTTTTCGGTTCCACCACGGCTGCTTTGAAATAGTTTGACCAGCTCTTAGAAGGTCCGCTCAGAGTTGAGCGCCGATAGAACCCGGAATCAATGAGTCACCATGACAACAGGCAACAGGAAGTGCCTATCTCACCCCACTGGAACTAGATATTTTAATGAATAAATTAAAAAAAAGGAGAACGTGTTAAAAAGATACAGAAACAGCGCTGCAGCCACAAAGCAGTGGAAGATGGCAAAGGAGAAGATTGCTGCTCTAGTGAATGCGTAGGTTTATATGAAGTGGGCTATGGCAAGCAGTGTGTACATTTAATAAAAACATTTTCTGTTGTTCCATTTGTAGATCATTAAAATAACATTCTTCTTGATCAAAACTTCACTCCTAGATGGAACTATAAAGATATATTTTCTAAATTACATTTTTGCAGCAGTAATTGAATTTCGAAAAAATACAAAAAAAAAAAATTATATTAATAAGAATTAAGATATTAAGAGTTATATACTTTTTGGCCATTCTGACATTTATCAGCTTGATTGGATATGTGTTTAGGATATTTGAAATACATTTCTTCATAATCAAAATAATAAAAATGGATAAATAATAAAAGTAACAATAGGAATATAAGATCTAAAAATAATTTCTAGACTTCCAGATGGTTATTCTAGATGTGAGGGATGCCATTTTGTTTGAAATGGTCATTTTGACAAGGAAAAGATGTTTTTTCAGATATCAGGAATACATATTCAGGAAAACTAAAACATATCAAAACGGCTTGCCATATTCTGCTGTTACTACAATAATAATATGGGTTTATTTCTTGAATAATAGTGGATCAATGTATGTATTTAGGTTCAATCATCTGGCAGCAGGTGAAGATGAATCATAAAAACGTTCTAATAGATGGAACCTGTTCATCATTCAATGGCTTCTCAGTTTGATTCTGTCTTCCATTACACAGGGTGGCTGTTTGCAGCCGCTTTGCATGTTATCATCCCAATAAATGGTCGTCACTAGTTAGGTTATCAATCGCATAGAATGGCTTCAGAATGCGCCACTAGGCTCAGTAGGTTGTTATCACTGAGTTAATCCTAATCCTACTCTAAGGTAATTCCTTACCAACACTCGCAGAATTAATTAATCTATTTATGTGTAATCTGAAAGTTATTTCAGTAAAAATTGATGAATAGAAATAAAACAATCCTCTCCTGATAAATATTTCTCAGTGAAAAAAATGCTTATTGTTGTTTAATAAGATTCTCATCAAACGCACATGAAGCCTGACTTAATCAGGGAATAAAACGGCGTGATTGGCTGTAAGGAGAGCGGAGACAATGGAGGAGTTTTTTGGAGAAAACCTGCAGAGCTAACCCGACCAGGTTAGCCCTGAAGAGAAAGTTACTATGGCAACAGAAACAGAGGCTGAGTAAACTCTCTTTTTGAAACGGAAAACTTTGTTTTCTTGTATTACAGGTAATGTTGCACCGATATCGATACCAGTATCGAGCGGGGCCCTGATACAGCATTAAAATGGTGGTATCGGTATCAGCAGGTACCAACAAATAGGCCGTCGATACCCTTTTAGAGCCAAAAGTGTATTCAACTATTGTCACCCATTCCAGGTAGGCAATAAAAAGTTCAACTGGATTCACTTTCCTGCTTCACAAAGGTAGGCAGCAGCTTAACAAAACCATGATGGCAATTATTTTACATCTAGGTAGTATGCAGTTCTTCATATATATACACACACATATCAATTTTAAACAGATGGTATTGGTACGGTATCACGGTGGCTAATACTGCACAGCCTGATATCGGTATCGGGGCCAAAAAATTGCATTGGCGCAACACAAATCTCAGGTTTAGAAACCTGTTTCATGAAACGGACCCTTGGTGTCTAAATTATCCTTGGGTGTGAATGTGTGCAGATTATATACCTCTGTGTTGTGTGACTGACGACCTGTCCAGGGTTGACCACGCCTTTCACCAGTAGACTGCCGGATGAAGCAGGAGAAAATGGATCGATGGAGTTGTGGATTTGCTTATGCCACCAGCAGCAGCTCCCTCAGCCAATCAAATACGGACATTTAATCACGTGACACACCAGTACTTGGAAAGAGTTGGGTTTATATCATATTTATATTCTGCCATTGTCCATGCAGACTGATGGCAACATATACCAGCTCCGCACCCCAGAGGAAAGAAGAAAATATGAGAAAAAAAAAAAAATATATATATATATATATATATATATATGCAACTGGATAGCTCAGTAGGTAACATGAGTGAAACCGCAAATACAAGAGCCATGCCGGCTCGGACGTCGCCCGGGTTAACAAGGTCCACGTCAGTTGCTGATGAAATGCTACTATACAAGCAACCCCAGTGAGAGAGGTTACATGCAGTGACTATGGGAGTTATGGCAGCTCCAAAAACAATCATCGACACTGACAAAGAGACAACTACTAACTCAGTGTTCCAACATCCGCAAACGGCAGCTCCTATCACAGCTAGAAATTGATGAGGTAAAACTGACATGCCGCGGCAAGGGGGAGTCAGGACAACAGGTCAATAGGGAAATATCATCATCCCAACACACAGAGACTGGGTCCCCAGCCCCAACAACAACAACAAGCCCACTAAACGTAAGGGCGGCTGACCTACGACGGCAGATCATGACCAAACTGGATCCCCTAGTACGACGACCAAGACTGCCAAGGCTAAGTGACAGAGTACCCTCTGAAAGTCTTCTAGAAGATGTAAATGCAGCACTACATACTATCCCTACTAAAGACATAACTGAGACCAATTAGCTGACCTACAGTACGCCACAGCTACAGTGATCCTAGAGATGCTTGGCTATAGGATAAACACCACAGGCCACAAAGCAGAGCCCCCATGGAGAAGAAGGCTGGAAGCCAGGATCAAGGCAACACGAAGAGAGGTTAGTCAGCTCTAAGACCTGCAGAAAGGTGTAGGGAAGAGGTTACCTAAGTACAACAAGCTGTTGATTCCTGAGGCTCTAGAAACTGCCAAACAAAGACTCGCCGCCCTGGCCACCCGCCTAAAGAGATACAAGGGAGAAGCAGAAGTGCAGCAGTGGTGCCAGTGGTAATTGGAGCACTGGGGGCTGTGACCCCCAAACTGGGAGAGTGGCTACAGCAGATTCCAGGTAAAACATCAGAGGTCTCTGTCCAGAAGAGCGCAGTCCTAGGAACAGCTAAGATACTGCGCAGAACCCTCAAACTCCCAGGCAGAGGACCCGAGCTTGAGGATGACACATACCACCCCACGAGGGGTGAGAAAACAGTTTTTTTTATCTCTCTCTCTCTCTCTCTCTCCATATATATATATATATATATATATATATATATATATATATATATATATATATATATATATATATATATATATATATATATATATATATATATATATATATATATATATATATAGAGAGAGAGAGAGAGAGAGAGAGAGAGAGAGAGAGAGAGAGAGAGATATGTCTATTTTTGTTTTTCAAATCTTTTAAAGTCAAATAAATATGTGTTTTTGTAAAAGAAATAAAATATTTGAAAAAAAGTTTAATTAACTAAAGCAAAGTTTCTCTCAAAGCATTTTAACGATAAAGAACTTTTTTTAAAGTTTAATTTCTGGTTGATATTTTTTTGAATTCGTATTTACAAAAGCCTTTTTGTCAAATTTTTGTTTACAAAATGTGTTGTTTGCTTGCAACCATTATGGAACAAAATCCACTTCATACATTTATGCAGTTGAGTTTTTTATAATTTAATTTCTGCAGATGCATCTTTTCAGCTGAATGTTTTAGATATTTTTTTAATAGGAGAATTTCTGCAGATGAATTTATAACATTTTTGAGGCAGATTTTTACAGAAAAGTTTTTCTAGTAGGTTTAAGCAAAAATAAAAAAAAATAAAAAAACATTAACCACATTAAATAGAATAAAAATGCTAAAATCATAAATCATAAAAACGTTTTTTTTTTTAAAGTTCTGATTCAAATGAAACTATTATATATAGTCATATGATGAAGACAAATCCAAATCTGCTCTTAGGAAGCATTTCATGTATTTACTTTCCATTTACAGTGTATAATTCCTCAACTATGATCTAATTTAACACTGAAAAGTAAATCAAATCTGAGTTTTCTTTTGAATTCCTGAAGGTTGTTTCTCTAATGTACAGAAATCCCCTTTATACAGGAAGACAACGGTTACATTTAAAGCCGTTTAGGTTTTTATACTGTTTTTCTTTTTGTTAAGATCCCCAGACTGCATTATTTAGATCAGGCCCAGTGGGTCTAAAGCACAAGATTGGGCAGAAATGTGATTATCTCCATCATGTGATCTCAGCGGGGCATGAAAGAAGCCCTTTGATGGAAGCCTGGAGCAGTTCTCAGACTCTGCAGCGAAGAGATCCAGCTTGTTTTCCTCAGAGCGGTGAGTCCAACCAGAACCCAACAAATATATTTGAAGAACATATATCCAGATGTAATGTTTGACCTCTTGTTGCAGCGTAGCAGAGAATCAAAATGCATGATTTCAAAATGTTTGTGGTAAGATTTAAAGGATTTAGAAAAAAGGATTTTTTTTTTCTGCAACACCCATGTCTCTTAAAAAAGGCAAAACAAATTAGGGAGACATATTTTATTGGCAGCATTTTGTAATAATAATCCACTGTAATTTTAATATGGGGGCACCTAGATCCTCTCCATAGGATGTTATGATTTTATATAGAATAAACAGGATTTCCACAAAGATCTGCATAGATGCAAAGGTTGAGAAGTGATCCAAATGTGTTTTATATCTTTGACATTGTTCTATGAGATCTCTAAACCTGATTATGATTAATTTCACTTTTCAGAGGGACTGATATTTGTTATTTATTTGATATATAAAACAATATTTGATATAGCAGATGGCCGCTCACACTGAGCCTGGTTCTGCTGGAGGTTTCTTCCTGTTCAAAGGGAGTTTTTCCTCTCCACTGTCGCTACAAGCATGCTTAGTGTGAGGGATTGCTGAAGAGTCAATGAGTCGATGCAATCAACTGGTTTTTCTGAGATAG